AGGCAGATAGCAGTCTCGCTAAGGCAGGGAGTTGAAAGTCTTTGGAGGTTCATGTGGGTGTGGTTTCCTCTATGAATGTGTCGGAGAAAGAGTGGAAATCGGGTCATAGCAGGGCATCAGGAGAGATATTTGCCTTAACCAGCCCTTCCATCCTGATGTCTAGTGTGATAGAGTTGGACGCTGACCGTCCCGGAGTGTCAAAGGTCTAAATACCTTGGGCATTTCGCCCTGGTACAGCTTCGTTAGGGAAGGAACCCAACACTACCTGTCTGAGTCACAGGTGCCTATCTTCAGTTTAATTTTACTATTTTTATTTCAAAATAGCTGGCGCCCTTTCCCTGTTTTTATTTCTTCCTCTGTTATTATTTACTCTCTCTTTCTTTCACTTCGAATAAATATTCGCCTCTCTCTTTGTGTACAAGTTAGTTTCATGAAATAGCAACATCCTATGACATCTGTGCTAACTTCAAGCAGTCTCCCACTTTCTGTCAGTTAAATGTCCTAATGTAGTGGGAATATAATTTTTTTGTCTGATTTTGATTTTAAAAAAGAAGGCAAAATTATAATTAGTCTCATTTTATGGTCTACAAATTCTCTTGGGGTAAGTACTTTCATTGTCATATTTATTCTATAATTCTGACCGCATTTCCAACACTTGTAACCTTACTTTCTTTCGAAAGCACATTGTTTTTTATATATATGCATTAGGTCTCTTTAACAGAGTTTAAATGACAATCATAGTAACAATTACTATATTTCATTTTATCCTTGCCATACGCTATTTCTGTAATTGTAACTTTGTAAGATGGCAAGGAATTTAAACCTTTTTTCTTGATGTGTTTCTAATGTAAACTATTCCTTTTGTTTTAGTTTATCGGGAATATTTTATTGATAATATTCAACGTTTATTGGGAATATTTAATATTTTATTGGAAATATTCAAAGGAATGTCGGAAATATACCATCTTATTGGATTTATTGGCGTATTGGATTCACGGGGATTATTGACCGCATCAAACCGTACAACCACATCAAACCCTCGGACCACGTGTAACTGCAGCTCTCCAACCTACAACATTCCATTGGAGGACCTAGCAGCTAGGACACACAAGTACAAGAACAAAGCAATAAGTATTTCATCAATTGTTAAGCTTTGGCAGGGTCAATTATTGAGTTTTTTTTATTCTTTTAAATAAATATGTTTGGATAAAATTTGTTTTATTTGCTATCAACTGAGAATTTAGGTTTAATCACTATTTTAAGACAAGACGAACTCACCCTTGATATACTGAGCTAGGCAAGGTATAGACCATAAGCTCCCATGGTTGATTGAGGTATTATTTTTACAATAGTACTTCAATTCTCTTTGGTAGTCTTATCGTTACAATGTACAAAAAGTACTAACAGTGCTGCACTGCAAAAAAGGGAATATATTAAGCACTCCGTTGAAGATACACTGACCGGCATAAAAAGTGGCCACCCTATAAATATTCGAAAATAAAAATTCACTGGAAGTTTTATTCACTGTTTCATATGTTGTATACTCAACATCTTTCATTTTTAAAACAAAAAATGACCATAACTGTTTTACTTCTTAGCAAAATTTATTTAATTAGAAGACTGCAAAAGAAAAAAGTATAATATCGAAACGAATTACAAACAATAAAAATTATGAATGAACTTGTCTAATAAATTGTCTAATATCGGGTATTATGCCCTTAAACATCAATAACCGTTTGCATACGATTTGGAAGGGAAAGGAACAAATTTTGAATAAAAACTTTAGGAATACGTTCATATTCTTCACGAAGTATGTTTTGAAATTCTGCAAGACTTTCTGGCTCGCCTGGTTGACTAATAACCCTACGATGAAGTTCATCGTACATATTTTCGATGATATTTAAATCAGTGCTGCGGGATGGTCATTCTAGAGTATTAATTACTACTTCTTCCAAGAAATTTGTCACGATTCTTGCAGTATGCAGCCAATCATTATAATACATAAAGACGAAATTGTCTCCAATAACTGAACCAAATAGAACACTAATGCTTCTGCCAAAACATCCTTTATATACTGGTGAGCATTAAGGGGCCATTAATTAAAGTAATGAAAGTTCGAACTTTAAATGAGATTATAGCCCAAATCATAGCACCGCCACCATCAAACCTTCTCTGGAATATTGTAGCATTTGCAATTAGTTGATTTTTTTGTTGTATCTTAAAATCCCCTCGTATATGTAATATAGTGAAATCCCCTCATATATGTTTAAAAAAATAAAACGAAGAATTTTTTTCATGTTTGTTAGTTCGTATTTTTCAGGTTAAAATATCCGTTATTTGCATTGCTGGATGTTAATGTCAACCATTTTAAAGTTGTTTATTATTTTAAATTTGTGTACTTTCTCGGCATTTTCTTTTAATGTTTTATTCGAAGTCGCCTTATAATTTTTATACGTCGTAGAAATGGAATCTTTTACATTTTAATTTTCGTTGTGTTTTGTTATTTCAGTGTTTCTTTATTTTCAAGTTAAGTTAACGAATTCTTAAGAGAATTTCGTCATTCTTACTTGGGTCGTCGTAGTCTCAGGTATGGATCTAAATTCTTACTTGGGTCATCGTAGTCTCAGGTATGGATCTAAATTCTTGCTTGGGTTGCGGTAAGCTCAGGTGTGGATCAATTCTTACTTGGGTCACTGTAGGATCAGTATAAATCCAAATTCACCGTCGAATTTGTAGTTTTCTGTTTTGGCCCCTTTTTGTGGAAATGTATATCAGTGGAAAATAAACTGTATAGTATACCAGAACATGGTAGAATTTTGAAGCAGCATATAGGATATCCCACCAGCTTTGTTGTCGTTGGCCAGCTTGATCCAACCCCATCTACTTCAGATCTTTGTTCCTGAAAATGAAAACGGTTTCTTTTTGTTCAAGTTATGAGTTTCGTCCTTGCAGCTCCAATCCCAGAGATAGAAGCAAGTTTTTCAAAGTTAAGTGGCAAAGTTTGTGAATTAAAAGGTAACATTATGTGTTCATAGTAAAATAGCTTTTATTTTAAATAACAATAATTGATTTCATTGAAATTTAAAGGATTTATAATTAATAAATTATAAAATTTTAGAGTTTGATTTTAGCTGTCAATTTGTGTGTTCAGTTTTTTTTTTAATTTATTGTTAACTTATGACAGCACGTTTTATTATTTTTTGATTTTATTTTATTTTTAAGGAAGGTTAACCTGATGCCATTTTGAAAGATTTTGTAGCAATCTTCTTTGTAAACAGATGAACATGCAAGTTTTTTTTGTATTTGTGTATTTTACAACTATTTATATAGTTTATTTTTTGTGCCATCTGTATTTGTGTAACTGTTTGTAGTAAGACACAAAAAATTTTGTTTTCTTAACATTTTGTTTATTTTTTTAACTAACCCTTTTTTAGTTTTATTTGAAAAAGATATGTTTTTGATGTTTTATAATTATTTCCTTAGTTACAACTAGTAGTTGTAATAGGTATAATTAGGCACCTAAAGTGGCGCCCTATATTAAATTACTAGAAGTGTTTCCTGTTTCTTTTTGCTTTGTTTGTTCCAGAGATTTATGACCTTTTATTTCATTTTTTGCAGTTGCCCAATCCGACCCCCTGCCATTTACTTATCCACGACCCCAGCTCTCCTAATAAAACCCTGAGTGCCGTTCGCACAAGTAGCTATTATTTTGCTTGCCTTATCTCCACTCCCTTGGTTTCAGTCCCCAAATTTCTACCCCTTGCAATAATACCCCATGCGGTAGGCAAAAAATTATTTCGTTACAACATACAAGCTTTTGCATACCTTTGGTTTCTCCGTGTCCAAACCCTCACTTGGCTATCGCCAGACGTCAATCAGAACCGTGATTTATCAGTAAAGAGAATTCGGGTTCAATCCTATACATCCCAGTGTTGATGTTGTCGAGCAAAATGTAATTGATTCCTACAGTGTCTGGGTTGTAATTCGGGAACAATAGAAGGCTTCCACAAGGAATCTACGTTCCTGTAGTTGGCTGTATACCATGTATTAAAAAATTAATTAAAAATCCTTTGTAATAGGTATATATTTTAGGCCCAAATGGGCTAAGTTAAAAAGACAAAACGTTTTCGGAAACCATGTTCCATCATCAGTGTCTAGGAGTACATGAATGTAGCCACCAAGATTAAATATGTGGGTAAAAACCCGATAACAGATGTTTAATTACATTTAGTTTTAAAATTGTGTTATAATGATTTACTCTATAATCTTAAATCATTATAACACAATTTTAAAACTAAATGTAATTAAACATCTGTTATCGGGTTTTTACCCACATATTTAATCTTGGTGGCTACATTCATGTACTCCTAGACACTGATGATGGAACATGGTTTCCGAAAACGTTTTGTCTTTTTAACTTAACCCGTTTGGACCTAAAATATATACCTATTACAAAGGTTTTTTTTTTATTAAAAATAGAAGGCTTCTTGACTTTTGTTCTCTTTTATTAAAGCATCTTCTAACCCTTCTCCTCTCACGTACATTCACATTTCAAACTTTCCTTAAATAAAATCCACTGATTGTGTAAGATTAAAAACCAATGTTCTATTTAGTAAACAGATTTTTAAAATTCTGAATACTATTTCAATATATATAGGTGACTCGTAAATGACGATTTTCCATTACGGACGTTGTGGGATCGGCAAATATACTAGCGGATATGGTCAAACAAACCTGAATTCTTTGACACAGCGATTATTACCGTCATAAAAAAGCAAAAAAAATATTTTTCAATAGTAAGAATTGAGCACAAAATAGTATGAAATAAATTTTATTTTTATGATCGGTTTCGTTACATATTAAAGTTTATAAAATTCAAATCGGTATTTTATATTTTATTCCCGTTCCTCGATAATTCACTTTACACAGGAATCCAGTATCGGCCCCACCGTCTTTTATTTCCGCATTTTTAATTCCATTAAAAAAGAGGTTACAGGTAAGATAATATTTTATTGGAAAAATATTTGAGGATTACAAGTTTAAGTACAAAAATTTAAAAATTTATTTATGATTTCAGTCAATTATCTTTCAACCATGTTAAACTATGACCCATGCCACTATTTAAATTCTTCAGGAGAACGTATTTCTCCCCACACACTCCTTTATTGTCATCGCCGTCTATTGAAAAAACATTTATACCTGCTAACTGTTCGTTCTTAATATATTCTCCCTAAAATAACAAAGTTTATTAAACTAACAATACAATAAAATGCAAATGTAAGGGTACAATGAATATACAAAATAAAGATTCATTTTAAAAGCACAAAACAAGGTATTTGAACGTAGCGAGTCAGCATATATGAATTGTACAATAATTTCTAGATCCAAAACCGTGCAAAAGTATTGGACGGCATTTACAAGAAGCGACTATTCTTCTTCAAGTGATCAAATCAGTGAAAATTGGCATCAATTTTGACGATAAAAGGTAAAGACAAGGATAAATGGTTAGATAAAGTAACCCAAAAACGGTAATCTCAAAATATAGATAAAAATTTTGATTTCACTTTATAGTTTTTTCTGACTGTATTCTTCTCCTTCTAAACGTAAACACCGCGCATCTTCCGTATATATCAATGTTGTCGATAAATACTTAATGGGCGATATTCTTACCAAAGTGTCATGAAACGTGTCAATACTTATCTGAACAATAAAATCTGGGCTGACTATACCTAACGCGTACTACCTATATCAAACAATTTATTTGATTACTTACTTTAAGTCGCACTGCCTGGGGATCGTTAAACCCAATCCAGAATGTGTCGTTATATGAATATGGTGTCTTTGTTTCGTCATCCCACACTTTTGTAAAATCGGCGTATTTTTTGCAAATCTGAAATAAGTAAAATTCTAGTTACAAAAATATTCTATCATAGCCAATGTGGTTTATACATCGTTAGGAAATAACATACAGTGAACTCTCACTTACTACAGAAGTCGTTAATTGAAACAACCATTGAATATAATAGACCCCTGATACTTGTCTTTGTCGACTTTGAAAAAGCATTTGATACTGTCAATCAAAGTGAAATGCTCCAATCTCTAACACAATGTAGAAAAGATCCCCGATACATATCCCTCATTAATGAAGATACTGGGACCTTTCGTATTGAAAGAGGCGTTCGTCAAGGAGACAGCATGTCCCCTAAATTATTTACAACTTTGATAGAATACGCTTGTAAAACAATAAATTGGAACGAAAAGGGTATCAATGTAGATGGAAAATTTTTTAAATGACCTTAAATTTTCAGATGATATCGTTCTTATTGCAGACAGCTTTAATCAGGCATAGATAATGCTCCAAGAACTCCATAATGCCACAAACAGAGTTGGTCTTAAAATAAATTTTTCAAAAACAATTTATGATATATTTAGTCCGCAACAAAAACATCTTAGTAGAAAACAAAGATATTGAGCCAGTTGACTCCTATAAATACTTGGGCCATGAGATCATAATAAGTTGACACAACCAAGCAATCGAGCTGAAAGAAGAATAAACCTCGCTGGGTTGCATTTGGAAAGATAAAGGATATTTTTAGGTCTAAGATTCCAATGTGTCTGAAAAGAAAAGTATTTAATAAGTGTATTTTGCCAGTGATGACCTACGGCCCAGAAACCCTAACACTCACAAGAACAACAGTGAGTAAACTACAAGTTGCGGAAAGGGCAATGGAGAAATTAATGTTAGGGATTTCTCTACGTGATAGAATATCCAATGCTATTATACGCAAAAGATCAGGAGTAGCAGACGTTATTGAAAGGATAACAACCCTAAAGTGGAACTAGGCAGGTCATGTAGCAAGATGAGTTGATAACCGTGGACAAAAAGAATTTTGGAATGGAGACCCCGAATACAAGCTAACAGAAATAGAGGTAGACCCCCAACGAGATGGACAGATGACATAAAAAGAGTGACCACAAATTGGATTCAGATGGCGCAAAACCGGACTAAGTGGAAAAGCATGCGAGAGGCCTATATTCAGCAGTGGACGTTAGAAGCTAGTTGATGAGTACTAGTTGATGACTACTATAACGTAAGTGTACAGAAAATTACAGAACTAACGTGTCGAGTTAACATTCAAGATTTAAAAAAAGTCTATAGAAATTACATTTCTTACCTGATAGTATCGTATTTCTCCAAATGAAGGTGCCTTATTTATTGGAGCATGCACTCCTGTTTCCGTCTTATCTTTCAGGGAAAATCCGACTCCTGAAAATGCAACACCTAAAACAAGTTTGTTCTTAGAGAGACCTGCCTTAAGCCAGGTTTTGGCAACTGCATCAAGTTGTAACGTTGCTTCTCCCAGCCGTTCTCTTTGGAGGAAGGATATAAAGAGTTATGGTTTCCAGTGTAGAGGCTCCAGCTTCCATAGAAGTCGTAAGTTTTAATAGTGACCCAATCTACTATCCTAAAAAGATAATATTTAGTTGTAATAAAACAAGCTAAGTTTACTAAATAAAACAGAGAGTGGGTGACTGATTACAGCCCATACTAATAGTTGGTAATACTTAAACAACAATTACAATTAAAAATTAAATTTTGTAATATACTGAAATATTTCTGACACTTTCTCTTCTACAGAGTTCCTCAACTCTTAAATTTATACAGGAAATATACCATAGAGCACATTAAAGAGGCACTTTAATGAAGTATTCAGAGTTACATGATTTTTTTCCATTTCATTTTTATTTTTGTCAAAAACGTATTATTTTATTGAAAATATTATAGTCAGTACTAGTCTATGTATAACGATTTTTGTGTTAAACCATAGTTCATTGATATTGCATTTACTAAGCCAGTTCGGACAGAATATATGGACGTAGTTAAGCAGAAAACGTCCAACCCACAAATTGTTAAAAATGAGTTCTTTACACCAGCGAGCATATAATTTCTTGCTTTATAATATGCAGAAACCGTCCAAGTGAAAACATTACATACTCTTTTAATAATCGTCAAAGTTCTAACCCACAAACTAGGTTAACTGAGATTTTCATTGATAATAAAAAATCCAAGTGGGTTGAATTTTTTCTAAAAAATGTATGTCGATCTAAGTAATCGTGTTAAAAGAGTGGTTAAAACAGGCTAAGTGGGTTGGATCACTTTAACGCTCCATGCGATAACAAAACTACTGTGCATTTTTTTGTGTTAAAAACATCCAAGTGAATTGGATGTTTTCTACTTATAAATTTCGGTATACTTGTTAAAAATAAGAGTATAATCAGAAATCGTCCAAACCACTTGGTATCATTTTACGTTTACTATTTCATTAATATGTTAAAAGTAGTTTGAATCTTCGATTTCGGTCGATAATAAAATTTTATTACGGGAATGTGCCCTATTAATGTTTAAAACGTGCCTTGTGCGTATAAACCCTGGAACTTGGTCGATAAAAATTAATTTATTATAGGTACTCATCTTAAGCATAGTAATCACTTTCCTTTAGTTTTAAGTAAATGTGCCTATGTATTGATAAACATTTCTTTTTATTCAGTTGTGTCTGATTTTTCTGACTGTTCGGGTTTAAAAATACTTATTTAATAATAATTATGTCGAAAAGAAGCAAATACATGTGTGAGCTAGCAAAACTTATGGAAAACCAAACAAATAGTGTAATGTCTAGCGTGGAATTTGATTCAAATATTACCAATGTTGAGGTAAGTCGGAAATTTTTTATTAAAAAATAACTATATGTTGTTTACTGATTATTTTTTCGTGGTTTTCGGCCAGATTGAAGAAATAACACAAAACTCTCTTTTTTTTTACGACGTTTCAATTTATTTTGTTACTAAATCTTAAAAAAAAAATAAAGAAAATAGAAGAAAATAGAGTTTTGTGGTATTTCTTTAATCTGGCCGAAAATCACGAAAAAATAATCAGTTTATAAGACACGGCTTCTAAAAGTTTATGTTGTTTACTAAATTTTTAAAATAAATGCATTTTATACATCATTACATAATTTAAATATATTGTAGAATATGGATGATACCAATGTGACAGAATTCTACCGTCACAGCGAACCATCGTCATCCAATAGTCGTATTCGTGAAATGGTTTTAAACGAGAAAACTGGATGTTTTGAATCAGCTTCTACCATAGATTCTGTTGATGATTATGATGTAAGTATTAAATCTTTGTACCTATACTGTTTAGTAAAATGCTTTATAATGCTATTCGCTATATTATTTCTATTTAATGAAAACTAAACTTTGATGTACCTATTGTTACAATCTAAAAGAAAAAATACAACTTCCTTAGGTACACACAATTTTGTAAACACATATGTATTAATCTTATTATACCAATGTTAAATTGATACCTATTATTATGATCATCAATTATTATTGATTAAAGTAATTATACAATAATGTAAAGCATATGAAAATTATTTTTCGATGAGTACCTATAGTAAACTTTATGAAAAAGATTAATTTGAATGAATTGAATTTGTTTTATTTTTTGGTACCTGGTAATTGATTAAAAGTTAACTTCTTTAATTAAAATAGACGCTTTCTATAATTTTTTGAAATTTTTATTTAAAATATTATCTAATAATACCTACCTTTTTATTCTTACAGAATATGTCAATAAGTGATGTCTTTAGTAGCGGTTCCTCTGATATGTTTATACCATCGTCACATGAAGAGAGTTCCGATAACAATGAAAGTTGTGATGATAATCCATTTTTAGCCAGTACATCAGGTCGTCCAAAGAAGGGTAGAAAAAAGAAATTTGCAATGACGCGAGCAACATCAAAGATTAATAGGAACAAAAATGAATCTTACATTGACTACAAAGGAAAATTGAAAGCTGCTAAAGAATTTCAATATGACTACAATTGTAACTGCCCGATGAAATGTTCTGAGTTGATTTCTACAGAGTCACGAAAACAAGAATTTGATCGTTTTTGGAGTCTTGGGTCTTATAATGCCCAAACTATCTTTATTGCCAATAATATCCACGAAATGCCGAAAAAAAGAATGTATGGAAGAAACACTGAAAGACGTCTGTATTCCAGACAATATTCCTTACTTAATCAGCGTATTTGTAGGCAAATGTTTATCAATAGTCTTAGAATAACTCCGTCAAGAGTAACAACAGCTCTGAGAAAGGTAAACAATCGTGCTCCAATTCTTGATCAAAGAGGTAGAAAACAAGGTGGTTTAAACAAAGTCCCTGAAAATAAAATTCAGGAAATAATCAACCAGATCAATAAACTGCCTAAGTACATATCGCACTACTGTCGTGAAAACACGTCTGCATTATTTTTACCGGCACATCTCTCATTATTAAAGATTTATGATCTATACAAATCTGAAGTTCAAAACCCTGTGAAATTTGGTATTTATAAGAGGATTTTTTACGAAAAATTTAATTTGAGATTTAATGTTCCCAAGAAGGACACATGCCAGGTATGTGATTCATTTAAAATAAAACTAGAAAATGAAACGGATGATCATAAAAAGCAACTTTTACAAATTGAACTCGACACTCATCAGGATTTGGCCCAAAAATCACGAGAAACATTAAAGGCAGATTTAAAACGAGCTAAAGATGAGGATAATGTAGAGTGTTTAACATACGATCTTCAAAAAACTCTACCTTTACCCAAAATTCCAACCAATGTAATATATTATAAGAGGCAAGTTTGCTTGTATAATCTCGGTGTATTTTCAGGCAAACGTAATAAGAGTTATTCCTATGTATGGCTTGAAGGAACTGCTGGAAGAGGAGCTCAGGAGGTTGGTTCCTGTATTGTAAAATATTTAGAAAACATAGAAAGTACTGTTGAACATCTTATATTGTGGTCTGATTCTTGTGGAGGCCAGAACCGTAATATTAAAATAACACTCCTCATGGCCAGTCTTCTTCAAACCAGCCATAATATAAAAACTATAACATTTAAATTCCTGATTTCCGGCCATAGTTTTCTACCAAATGATAAAGATTTTGGGGATATAGAATGTCAACTCAAACGTCAAGAACGAATATATACACCTTTAGACTATATAAATATAATAAATTCATGTCGTAAAAAGTCTCCAATAACAGCTACACAAATGAAAAAGGAATGGTTTTTGAGTACCCACCAGCTCGAGAAGGCCACAATAAACAGAAAAGTTGGCACCAATAAAGAAAAAATAAATTGGTTGGAGACAAAACAAATTATATTAACAAAAGAAAATCCTTACCACATCTTTATGAAACCTAGTTATTTTGGCGATGAAAGTGTATGTTTGGATATTGAGCGACGAGGACGATTAAATACAGAGAGCTTTTCGGCGCTGCTTATGCAACTCTGGCCCAATGGTAAACCCCTGTCAGAGGATAAAATTAACGATATTAAAAGCTATTTACATCTAATTCCTTCAGACGCTAAACCGTTTTATGAAAATTTTACAAGTGCTAATGTAGTCGAAGACGTTGATGGATTTAATGTTCCAGTTCTAGATTTTGAGGTAGATACCCACAATAATTAAAACTTTTTTTAAATTTACATTTACATAAGAAAATCATTGTAATTTTGTTTCTTTGGATCATTAAAATTTTTATAAAAATATGACATTATTTATTTATCTGAAAGATTCCAACCCACATAAGTATGTTTTATCGAAATTTTTTTCGGATTTTTGTTTTTTGTTAAAAACGTCCAACCTAAAATTTTCAAAATAACTTCATTGAAACTTACATTTAAAAGAAATTACAAACGAGGTGCCTACGAGATGAATATCATTATCTTAAAATCATTGCCAGGCGAATAAATTATGCATAGTTTAGCTAGGGCACACTAAAATCTTTTAAACTCAATTTCCCAACAATCACTTTTTTTGGGTTGGACGTTTTCTGCTTAACTACGTCCATATTATCCATGTTCTGCATAGCATTTGCATTTATAGTCTAATTTGTGTCTAAAGTATCCCGTATTTGGTTGATTTTCCCTGTGACAAGCTAGTTCTTATTACGTTCATAGTGGCCATTTTGAGTATAGCACTGATATTTGTGTTTGCATTTGGCCCCATAAAATCGTGGCGTTGATTAATTGTCTGCTTGATTCGTTTCGTAAATTGGTGTTAAATAAATCTGCTGTTGAGAGTGTTTCTTTTAGAGTTGGCTTTATAGAGCCTATCGATAAACTTTATATCTGGTTCTGGATACCTTTTTATTCTTGGCGTAGGCGTATTCTTGATATAGACCAGATGGATTGGACGCATCTTATCGTATAATGTAAAATACCAAAGCTCACTAGCAGTGATTCTCAAGACGTCTGCTCTGGTTCCCCTACTTAATTGTCCAAAAATATTGTTTCTTACTAACACTATGAAATATTTTTACAGTACTATCTGCTTTTTAGAGACCTATGTATTACGTTGCTGAGACTTATTGGCAACATGTTGGTAATGAAATTTGAAGGTTATTATTTAGATTGCAAGCTGTACTTCATTAAATCGAACATTCAGATCATTTAACCGTAATTAGGATAAAAAATGCTTTACCTGCTGATTTCTTTAGCGTCGTAACCATGCTGTTCAATTACTGGATGAACAGTAATACTTAATATCCATCCATTTTTATCAAAATCACGTTTAATTGTTTCCAAAAGATGAATAAAATTTTCCTTAAACATACAAATAATAAAGATTAATTGAAAATAAAGTTTTGTTGGTTATGAAAATAAGTATAGAATCCTGATTTTTAATGAACAATAAATTATCTAAATAGGTGTCTGATAAGATTATACCTTAATAGATATCTTTAATATTCAGGTCCATTCATACGATTTTAATCAATTTTACGTATATGGCTTTGTCTAATGCCTTTTAATGCCGATTATGTTAGATAATGTCTCCTGATCTCTGATTTAAAACCTGGTTACTTTTATAAAACCAAGCTGTGTTGTTAGTGGGTTTGGGAAATGATAATTATACGCCAAAACAGAAAAGAAGGACGTAAATTCGCTTTTGGTAGTAATTGGGTAGATTAAGTAATTCAGTATTGAAACTCAACGTCAGAAGCATGACAGGTAAAGGAAAAGAGATCACCGATTTCACGCAGAGGAAAAGGCTTGGTATACTTTGTAAGTAAAAACTCGAAGGTAATTAATCAAGCAATCTTGAAGATGGATGCAAGTTAATATACAGTAGTGCCAAGAAGTCATAGTAGAAATAATAAAGTAGATATTAAGTGATAGAGTAATGAGTGTCCAACTAAATACAGGCAATAACAACGTTAACATTATATATGCCAACGTCTTACAGGTTAAGTGTTAAGAACAGGAAAAGGAATAATTTTGGAATGTCCTTGACTGCAAGATTCTTCAGCAATCAGGTATGTAAGTGGATGAGTAAATCATCATGGTACTACTATATTGAGATAAAGGGGACATTTAAGACTGTAGGATCCATAGAGGGATAAAGTTAATATCACACAATAAAAATTTGGGAGAGAATTGTAGAGTGAAGGTTATCGTGAAATACATAGATAGAAGAAGAAGAATATTGGTTTATGACAGGGAGAAGAAAAACGGATGACTTGTTTGCAATAATATGGAAATACGGTGAGAAGAGAAAAAACTACATTTGGTATTTATAAATCTTAAGAAGGCATACAACACGCTAGACAAGAGCTATGTAGATGTTTAAGAGAAAAATAAGGTTCTGAGAAGTACGTAACGTTCGTGAAGGATATGTGTGAGGTAGCCTACACCAAATTAAGGGCTTATGTCGGACCGACCGAAAGTTTTCCAGTAACGGTTGGTTAGCATCAAAGAGTCCCTACCTGTTTAGTCTTGCTATGTCTCTACCAATAAAGAAGGTAAGGAAAGGGGTTTGTGTGTCAATGTTCTTTGCGGATGATATCGTGACACTGGATGACAAAAAAATGTTGTAGGAGAAAATGGACGATTTGAGAAGGGCATTGAATAGGAAGAACTTAAGGTTACCAGGTCGAAAAGGGCGTATATGTGGTTGAAATGAACAAGAATGGTGGTGGACATTGAATTTTTTGTAAAAAACTAGAATAAATATGAAAAATTAAATTCTTTGTCTTCTAAATACCAAAAAATAGGACACGAGGTTAAAAATTACCCACAGGGTACCGGCTAGATGGTTTAACTAGAAGAAAATAAGCGAGGTTATTTCTCTGATTAAACAAGCGGGCAAGAGCTGAATATATATATATATATATATATATATATATATATATATATATATATATATATATATGTATATATATATCGCACCCTCAGTAATATAAGGGATCAACTCAAAATTTTGGTAAATTGAGATTTTAGATGCTATGGGCACAAAATTAAATTCTCTACCGGTTAACGCTGACAGAGAGAGAAATAGGACTTTAGTTGCTCGGTAAATATATTTGTGCCTCTCTCTTACTCTCCCGCCAACCTATTGTTTTTTGCTACAGGTAAGTAACAATCAGTAACGTGCCCATAGTCATCAAAGGCGGACTGTTCAAACGTCGTGCGATTCCTGTTTGTGTCCTTCTGTGACAAAAATCCTGGTGAGTTTGTATGTTAACATTTTTTATTATATAGAACAATTTTTAGTTTAGCCCTTATATTATGTAAAATGTAATTAATAATTGGGTTTAATTCATAATATCTCGCTATATTGCCAAAAAGTAGAGATGTTATACGGAATCATACCTTATTGGTTTATTATAGTACGTAAATTGTTTTATTGTTGATGGCGAACTTTGTAATTGGCCCTTATTTACATGAAAATTTTAACTATTTTTTAATTGATCCGATTTGCGGCGAGTTCGTTCCTCAGCCAGTACGTCTAAAGCCAATATTTCCATGCCATCCTGATCGAGATGCGATGAGTTGCCATCAGTTAGATCAAGAACAGTAGGTAGTTACATAATGTCTCCAATACATTCAGAGGAAAGCGACGTAGACCTCAGTGATGACGATCCCACTTACAAACAAGAACATTTTCGTCGACGTCCACTGATCAAAGCAACTCTAACTTTGATTGGTACAAACAATGTAACTATGACAAATGATAACATTCAAAGACAATCAAGAAAACGTAAAGCAGATCCAACCAAATGGATACAAAACACGCAAAAAATGAAACGAAACTTGGTCAAAGCTATGTAGCTATACACTCGAAGAAATTGGTTCCTGCACGTAATATGAAACCACCTTGTGGCCAAAATGTAGATTAAAATGCAGTGAGCGAATCGATGATTCCAAAAGGTTGAAATTATTTAGTGCATTTTGGGCATTAGGGATAGACAATTACAAAGAATGTATGTTTTGTCTAATAGTGCACAGATTACACCTAGGTACAAGTATACCAATGCCGAAAAACCACGAAATCCAAACCATACATTTTATTTTTCCGTAGACAACGAAAGAGTTAGGGTATGCAAAAACTTTTTTATTAATACTATTGATATTTCTCATAAGATGATTCGAAATGTACATGAAGATAGTAGAAAAACTGGGGCTTCATAAAAGATGACCAACGCGGCAAACTCAATAGTCATAAAAGTGTAAGTGATGAGCTTATAAATGAATCACCAACTTCATCAACTCTATTCCCGCATTGAGTCATATTATCTAAGAGCATCTACCTCTAGAGAGTACATCAGTAGTGGTAAAAGTATTGCAGAGCTCTTTAGAGATTTTGAAGTACTGCAAGAGGAAATCTATAGGACTATATCACACACACACATTTTATGAAATTTTTAAGACAAAATTTAACCTAGGCTTTTATCAACCCAAACCCAAACGTGCATAGTTTGATACAAAAGCAGATAGCTAGAGATAGGAAAACTGCCCAATATACTCTCCTGTTCAATACATCTCAGCAATCAAAAGAGCAAGGAAAACTGGTGCTTCATTTATAGTTCACAGTTTAACTTACAATGTTTTTTACGATCTTCAGAAATTACAAGAAAATTGGGGCTATAATTTTAATACAGATGAACAGAAAAATAATCTTGTATGGAATAGTATTAAAGTACTGAAATTTACCAAAGAAGACCCATTTTCGTTTTATTACAAGTGCTCATATAAGGATGAGTTTAAAAAAGTTAATGTTCGTGATAAGAGGAAGAGAATGCCAAATATTAAAGAAATAACCATGTAGAAAGCTTACCTCCAGGCACTTCCACTTAGTTGTGCTAAAAAGAATGATCTTAAGGATCTTATTAATAAACAATTGATAGATCCATACTATGCGTCTTATTATAACAACATGTTGTCTTAATATTACTAATCTTTGGAATTTCAACATTATTTTGTGTAGACTGAGTACATAGCCAAATTACAATAATTAAGTTTTGAGACTGAATTTTATTTTAAAGACTTTATTTTTTTGAATGAATTTTTTTGTTATGCGCAGTTTTAGAAGTTTAGAATGGAGGAATGAATGTTTTTTTTGTTATGTATAATTTTTTAAGTTTACTGTGGAGATATTGTGATATACAATTAAGTATTAAGTAAACGACAATGTAAAAATTGAGGAGTTCCTACTTGTAAGTTTTATTTGGAATTAAAACGTTTAACTCATAAATGTGACAATATTAAAGCTATCTTATTATGTTTTAACTCTTGTTTTTAATCTTTTTTAGATTATTGTTATATTTTGCACTGATTAATAAAGTATTACTATTATTTTACCTGATATTTTTATGTATAAAACAGAAACATTAAATTCAAACATCGGTTGGGATTCGTGATATAGAGTACCATTTACGATTAAAAATTAAACAGTGGAAGGGACACTAATAATATAAGGGATCAAACTTAAATAGTTCCTTATTTCTGTTTATGGTTTTTTATACTATACGGGACTAACTCGAAAGTAGTTTTTTCCATTCCTTGTAATTAATAGAATTTATTTATATTATCATTTTTTCCTCATTGCAATTTTTAGTGCAGTTATCAAATAACAAATCTGCAAATTTCATATTTATAACTTAAATACTAAGCATTTTATTTGAAACAATAGCTGTAATGTCGGATACCAGAATCTTTAAATGCGATTTCCCACAAATCTACTTTTTTGAATTGTGCCTCTATATTACTGAGGGTGCGATATATATATATATATATATATATATATATATATATATATATATATATATATATGTATATATATATATATATATATATATATATATATATATATATATATATATATATATACTGCAGCCCCAATAAACTTTGTTGTTGTTTGTATATATATATATATATATATATATATATATATATATATATATATATATACAGTGCTAGTCAAAAGTCCGTTCCCCCCTCGTATCTTTTGAACGGTTATTGTTATAATAGTGAAATTTGGAGGGAGGTAATAAACAGACGTATGCTTCTCAACTAGTCTTAACAGGCGACGTAATAGTAACAGATGACGTTACAGCGCCACTGTGACAGATAATTTTAAATGGGACCTTATGGCAAGTGATACTTCGTTTGATAGGCATTGAAAATACATATTCAGTCATAATAATTTTATTTGAGTTTAAGCTCATTTTGAGAAATAAATTAAATAAATACTAAAGTTGTAGTTTCGCATTTAATTAATAAATATTAAAACCTCCGCCTCTGGTTACTTGTCAAAAGTTGACGTTTTTTAATTCTCTAATTGTTTTTACGTCAACGTCAACTTTTTTAACAATTAGCAAAAGGTGAACGTTAGAATATTTATTGATTAAATGCAAAACTACAATTATTTTAATATACCTATTCAATCATCCTAATTTTGTTTGGATTTAAGATGCTTTTGACGAATAAATTAAATAAATACTAAAATTCTAATTTGGCATTTAATTCTAACGTCAGCCTTTAGTTATTTGGCAAAAAAAGTTGACGTTTGTCAATTCTCTAGTTGATTTTATTTTGCAAAAGCGTTTATAGCCCAATATTTAGTTTCTGTTTCTACTTAGTTTGGTCAATCTAAGTTTAGTCAAGTTGTTTTTAGTTAGTTTTTCTTGGTTAATATTTAGTTTAATTATTGTTTAACGAGACGTTTAAATTTTTACAAAGGCAGAATGGTACGTACTGCAGCCGATAAAATAGCAGCTGTGATAATTGGTAAATGTGAAAATAATTTCCATGCAGCGGAACGTCTTTTTAATGAGAGGTACCCCGATCGCCCTATATCAGATCTTATTTGAGAAAGCTTCTTCGGAAGTTTAAACAAACAGGTAGAGTTCAAGATGTCAAACGATCTGGTCGATCAACAATTAGTGATGACAAAAAAATTGAATTAGTCAAAAGACAAAATACACTGAGTGTTGGCTCAAAACTAATTTCATCCATACAAATTAAACATTGTGCACCAACTTTCAGATGATGACCCCAACTAAAGACTAGAATTCTGTGAAAATATGTCCAATAAAATTAACCAACAGCCCAATTACATAAAAACAATTTGATTTAGTAACAAAAGTACTTTTTCTCTCAATGGAAATGTTAACACACACACACAATGTGAGGTATTGGGAGTGACACATATCCTCACGTCTTTCGTGAAACAAATACTCAATTAAAAAAAAAATAAATGTTTGGGCAGGTATTTTGGGAAACCACATAGTTGGGCCTGTTTTTAGCAATACTAATTTAACCGGTGAAGTGTATCTAAAGATGTTACAAAATGCAATTGAACCATTAATACTTGAAATTCTGGAGGATAATCCAGATGAATTCGGTAACTTGGAAATAACGTTTCAACAAGATGGTGCCCCTGTACACCATTATGGTGCAGTAAGACGTTACCTAGATGAGGAATATCGCGGTAGATGGATTGGACGACGAAGTACGAAAGAATGGCCAGCTCGGTCACCGAACCTCACACCATTAGATTGTTTTCTGTGGGGATACTTAAAATCTAAAGTTTACGCTACAGCAACCGACAATATTGACATTTTCAAAGAAGAACGGACTTTTGACTAGCACTGTATATATATATATATATATATATATATATATATATATATATATATATATATATATATATATATATACAAGAGTGTGGTGCAGTCCGCGTTGAAAGATGCCACTGTGGATGTTCGGTAAGACTAGAAAAAGCAAGATTAGGGACGACGTAGTTAGGGAACGAGCCGGAGTTACTACAGGCTCAAAAATGGTAAAAAAACAAAGATTGCAATGCTCTGGCCACATTAGCTATAAAAATAAGAAATATATAGGACGAAGTATAGAACTGTTAGCAAATAGGAGAGGTAGAGGAAACCTGAAAAAAACGGAAAAACTTCGCTAGAGAGGATTTAAAAAAAATGTTTAAATGATAAGGACACGATGAATGAAAATAAGTAGTAAAGAAAAGTAAGGAACAGCGACACAAAAAGAGAAAAGCTAAATAAAGAGAAAAATAAGAATTAGAGGAGACCTTGATAATATACTTGCAACCTATAAATAGAAGAGTTTGAGATAATTTTTCTAAATACTAGATGCAAAAAAATATAAACTTAGGCCAGTATTTAGTTTAGATAGATATATTAAGAGAGGTGGCCGTCTGACCACCTGTTTAGGAGTTTCTTCTCCTAATGCAAAGAAACGCACATTTGCCAGACTGTCACAATGACATAGAATGTGCCCTGCTGTTTTTTCTTCGAGGGGACAGAATCTGCATAGTTCATCATCTGATAATTCCATTAGCTTCAAGTGCCTATTTAGCTTACAGTTACTAGCCCTGTTAGAAGACCTACTATGGCTTTGACTGTTTTCCTATCTTTGCTTATTAGGTCTGCCGTAAATTTTGGCGAATGTTCCGTAATGAACTGTTTCGCCTGTCTTTGTCCTGGTGAATTCCTTCACCATTCCAGAGATTTGCGAGCTACCCACTTCCTTGTAGCTATTCTTGTTACTGTCTTTGCAACGCCACAGAAGGGTTCCGGTCCAATGAATGGCATTGATGATCCTTGTTTGGCCATTTTGTCTGCTTTTTCATTGCCCCTATGACCCTCGTACCCCGGTATCCAGGCTACCGTAACCTTGCTACGATCTCCTAGTTTATTTAGGACACACACTCAATCCCACACTAGCTTAGAATGGTCTCTACAGAAGTGTGTATTTAGAGTGCCTTGTACAGCGCTGAGTACATAAGTAAGTATTAATTTAACAGAAATAAGATTTAGAATCTCCAACACAGTCACATATTAGAGGAATAGATCAGAAGTTTCCCAGAATGTTTAGGAAAATCCTTGAAGTAAAACTAAAAAATCGTATAGATAATATTGGAGAAGTTGATGAATATTGGGGATAGGGTAGGTCTATATTACAGCAGAATATTAAAAAATAAAAATGTTTAAAATTTAGTTCTAACTGATACAATGAAGAGTTTATGCAAGCAACACATAAACAATTAAAATATATAAGTATATCTAGTTGATAGCAAATACCTTATCGTCTTTTGCCGGTGAAAACCAGAATAGGTCCAACCCATCGAAATTGTACATTTGTATTATTTTTGCGGCACTAGACAAAAATGCTTTTATTTTGTCGTCGTCTTTAGAAAGATCCCTAAAAAGTGTTTCGTTAGTGGCTCCACTACCACCAACGTTGAGTAGTACTTTCAAATCTTTGTTCCTCGTTTTTAAGTCAGTCGTCATCCTGTACAAACCTAAAATGAGATGCAGTGAAATAAAGTAAAAGTAACAATTTTAAAGTATAGTACATAATGGGAAACATTCGATCTCAAGGACACGGCACAAAAATATGTACATATAAACATTTAATTTGAATTTGGGTGCATAATTATATATTTTTATTCATAAATTATATAAGCTCTGTGTTCAAGAGCCATGACCTTACCCTAAAAACAAAAGGCTCCGTACATGTTACGTGTACTCTGTACGGAGTAGAAACGTGGACATTGAAGGCGGAAACTTTCAAAACTTAAGGCTTTTGAGCTATGGTCATACAAAAGGATCGTCTTACATGATTGTACAACATCCTCTTGCGCTGCCTTCCCCATCTTACAATATCTTGAATTTTGCACTGCTCTCTAACGTTTGTATTTCCCACCCTGTCTCTTCTTGTTTTGCCCACTATTGTTCTTAGGGTTTTTTTTCCGCAACCCTTATGCGTTTTGTTTTGCCCTCATGCCATTCCTCGGGTGTTTCCGTGTCGTGTAAGATTTCACGGTTTGCTGTGGTTGATCGCCCTCGTGTTAATTTTCCGCTTTCCAATTGCTTCTTTCGCTGCTCTGTTGATTTTTTGCCAAGTATTTGTGACTCCCCATTCTGGTTGTAACTCAATCTCTTTTAGTTTGCTGGTAATCCTGTTCTCATAAAGACGTTTTGTACTCTCTGTTGCTAGCTCTATACGTTGTTGATTCTCATTTTATTTCTAGCGCCAAAGTCTATTAGTGCTTCACCATTTTCATTAAATATTTCTTCGTTGTACTTTTGTTTTATACCTGGTATCACATCGTTTCCAAACCGTGCATTAAGATCCCCGAATACGATAATTTTGTGTTTAGCATTTATGTTATCTACGGTGTTTTGTAGTTGCTGATAGAAATTTTCAGTTTCTACTGTGGGCTTAGATATGTCTGGGGCATATGTGCTTATTAGTTGTGTTGTGATGTTACGCATTTTTATAGAGATTTTTAATAACCTCCAACTATCCTCCTAAAAATTCCAACTCCTGAATGTGCTCTTTCTTGTTTAGCTTTTCCGCTGTATATGAGTGTAAACTCTCCGTATTTTGATGTTCTTTCGCATTTTTTCTTTTTTCGGAGATTGCGCAGAAGTCAGTATTGTGTTTCTTCATTTCTATTATATATGACGTAATATACCGAATAAATGACGTAATATACCAAATTAAGAAGTTGCCGAAAGGCAAATCATAAGTAGTTCACATAAACTGTCTAGCACCTTATGCTGGCTCAAATGAAAAAAAAGCGCGAACCCTTCAACACGAGATCAAAGATGACCGACGACCAAACTTTAATGAATTAGTGTCAAATTATGCAGAGAGAATGAGTGCTAGATTTGGCGTGACCACAGAAGTTCAGCAGGATCTTTTTAGTGTTCCGCATAACGTCTCTCTAGCCCACTGTGTTGCCCAAGATCTTGAGATGACTAAAAGAATCTCGTCCGTATTTATAAGAATTTCGGTCGTTTGAACGAGTTAAAAAATCAGCAGCCTTAAGTTGGAAAAGTACTGAGCTTAGAAGATGGTCCTTGATCTATACCGCTCGTTTTATTTAAAAACGGTACAATATCATGAGCTTTTTTGAAATTGATAAAAAATATTTGAGTTTCTTCTGATGTTTTTTTTCTGTTGACTTTTAGCTTGTTCTTTCGAGTACAAATTTGGTCGAAGACTATAATATGTTTTTTTCGTTAACTTGTACAGCAGCTTGTAATCTACGTTGATCAGACCCCTTTTTTTATGAAAATTAATGGTATTGGTACTTGTGTCCAAATAGCTTTGATTAAACAGTTTATTTCTTGCACTACTTGCTTACTTTTATATTTTAGCATTTATACAGATTCTTCATCCTTACCCATAATTTTGTTAGATTTCAAGCTAAGTAATATAACCTCAATATGTTTGGCTTTTTTTATTTCTATTCTTTATCTTAATAAAAAACAACCTTGATTTTAATTTAACAACCCAATGTTATTATGTTGCGTTCTACAATAGTACATTGTTTACCGGGTAGGAAAAGCTTAACATTTCTGGACGACTGTGAAGATTGCTAAGTCGAGGCGCAAGCCGAGACTTAGCAACACAGAGTCCAGGAATGTGGCTTTTCCTACGAGGTAAACATACTATTTTTCCGCAAATCGTTTAAAATTCGACAGATATTGATTAATTAAAAAAAAAAACGCGATAATTTTATTCCCAAATAAATGGTGCTTTGAAATTCCTAATAAAATTACTTGGGTTACTATGGAAACGTATTGAGGTTGAATTGTCAAACTTGATTATATATTTTTAATGCAAATTAAAAATATAATGTTAAATATAAAATGTTTCTCATAGTTCTAAGAGTGTTCCTCCAATGTTCAATAATTGTACTAACTGTCAAATTACTGTAAATACAAAAAATTGATCTTAAAAATGTATTCAGCAATGACTTGATGTTTTCAAAATATAAATAAATTTCTTATAAGCAATGTGTTTTCTATCATTTATGTAGAACACTAACAACTGTACGGAAATATCATTTCCTTACAGTAAGGAAATGACATTTCGTTACAGTAAGGAAGTCCTGACTTTTTCTTCAAGAAATTTTGACAGGAATGTCAAAATTTCCTGGCAATTTGCGGAAAAAATATTTATTTAAGTGAGATCGTAATTTCTCTACTTAAATAATATTGGAATTTACCTTGTTCCATAACATAAAGATCCAGCCACTCGTCTCCTACGCGTAGCTCTCCAGTTTCCTTGAGGCCTATAAATTGGTAGACTAAATGGGTACACAATCTTGGCTCAAAATTTTCTGGGTAGACTTCTTGATAGGCCATCCAACTGGCGTAAGTACAAATCACTTTTAGTCCATCGCTACCTATTTCAACTCCTGGTTCTGTTATTGTAATTGGCACGCTAGGTTTAGTTGGCTTACTTGTTGCTGGTTTTGTTGGTATATTAGACTCTGGTTTAGTACTACCACCGCTGGACGGTCTTTTATTTTTTACTGGCGTGGGCTTGAATAATGCCTTTAGTATACAGGATGGTGCAGTATTGCTGAATGCTCCATTTCGACAATACCTGTAAAGTAAAAAAAAATTAAAAAAAACACAGGAAATAATAAAAGCAGTTTATATAGGTACTAGCTAAAAACGCTAACCTATACTATATCTTGTTACAATTAAGTATTAAAAATGTAGACACTAATTTCTGGGAAATGATAACTGAGTTTTAACTACAACATTGTTGCCAGGTTGTGATTATAGGTAATATCTCAAATAAAGTCAAATAGCCATAAAATATCGGATTTTAAAGTACCTCCTAAAACAAGACAACGCTGACCAGTAAAAAAGAACAGTAAATCAATGCTGCAAATTCAAAATAGTTATCTGATACTCGGTAACGTATAGGTTAAACTGTTAAGTAAATTTCAAAAATGTATATGTACTAAAAAAAATATTTTTACCAAATTTATGTTTTTGTATGTATATAAAACAATATTACGTGAAGCTTATTTACATAGCTTTTAATGATTAGTGACGTATTATGTATGAGTTATAGAAAAAGTTTATTAATTTGACATGTATGTAAACCGTGCTGGTCTCATCTTACGTAATGGAGGGACTCTGAACTCGGTAGAAGTTTTTCAGTACTCTGCAAAAGACAGACTGGGCCGGGGAATCCTTAACTACGACAGGGCATAATGGCTGATAGAGAAGTCCTATAGATATACAGCATATGTACGAATAAGGCTTAGCCAAATAAGTACCCGCTGATCAACTGACATGACACAGTCAGCAGCTGTATCATTACTGGCCCGTGGATGAGGAATGCAATTCCTAATAGGTGCGGCACCACACAGTTGCAGGTGGCAATCAAATTAATTTATTCAGCTGTAATATACCCCTTAAAACCGCGATGTCAGATTTTAAAACAAATACTGATTTTCCTTAGATGAGTAGGATGGACCTGGGAAAGTTTCAACGGTAGAACAAGGAACAAAATTGACTACATCATAAGTAACAAAAAACAATAATTAAAGATGTAACAGTACTTAACAAGTTTACCATAAGCAGTGACTCCAGAGTGACACAAGCGAAAGTCCAAATTAACATAAAAAGAGAAAGGAACATAATGATTAAAAATTATTCTCATGGTACCTTGACATCATCATTGGATATCAACCAATATCAGGCACATGTCAATAATAAGCTACTACCACATGTAATTTCTGAAAACGATCTTAACGACTTAAAGAATTTCATGATAAACGCCTTACAAGAAAGTCACTGAGTGCAATGCCCTAAAGGATAATCAGATAGTAAAATAGGTCAATATACTGAAACGCTGCTGAATCAAAGAATACAAATAAGAAGCGATAAGAATGCAGGCAGTCATACTCTAAGAGAAATGAATAAAACTGTTTCGAAGGCAATCAGGAAATAGTTAAGGAAATTTAAAACAGATAATATTCGACGCACTCTAGAAGAAAATAACAGCCTAAAAGTTCTACGTAGAAAGCTAATGAATGGAAAATGCAAAATTCTTACCTTAAGAAACAAGCAAAACCAAATAATATCACGTAGAGAGTTAATACTGGTCGTCGAAGAGTTTTACGACGAAAGGATTATATAAAAGTAGACAAAAAGATCAAACAGGAATACAAACAGGTATTTGAAAGAGGATCCTGTCAGAAATAATGCCATAGTTAAAAGTAGATGAGATTCGACAAGAATTAAGAAAACTGGCAGAGAAAACTTGATGGGGGGAAATAACATGTGGGCTTCAGAAGTTAAAAGATAAGATAAAGTTTTTGAAAAGGTTAAGGCTAACCTTCAGAAAAGATATAAACGTAACGCTAGAAGTTACAACTTACGTAGAAAAGAAGTCCAATTCCAAGTGGGTGAAAGCGCTTCTTCGTCTTTGTGTGTCGTGCTTGTATTCAAGCGTTGGCTATGGTCATATTGACAAGCTGATGAAATGATTCTCGGTCGGCAGCTAGATGAAACAGTTCCTTGACCGTTCGACCTATCCATTATCTAATGTTACGCAGCCAGGACAGTTGTTTTCTTCCGACCCAACGTTTTCCTTCGAGGTTGCCCTGAATGATTAACCGGAGTAAGCGATATTTAGGTCCTCTCATTATATGGTCGAAGTATTGGACCTTTCTCATTTTATTATTGTTCTGAAGCTATTTTCTTATGGCATTGTAAATTAATTACTATTAAACTGGGAATAAGCCACAATTAAAGATAAAAATACGTTTATTGACGTTTCAATTTCTATTTCGGAAATCGTTCTCAAAATACAAACAGTAAATTAAACAAATTTTGTTTTTTGTTACATAGTGAAAAATTCTTCTAATAATTTAATTTTATCTGACTCATTTATATTGACAATTCAGACATACATTATGCATTTTAAAGTAGACGACTTTAAAATGATATTGCCAATATTGTTTCCATAGTAAATTATGAGGGAAAAACCAGGAAAAAAACCTCATAATACTATCCCGACATTGTAAGTATTTGTTCGTGAATTTAGTTTATCTTCAACAAACATCAAAATTCTGATTTTATATGTTACGTTATTTAAAAAACATAAATGATGTATCCTCTATATGTTACTGACTTACTAATACTGGTATTTTCTTATTAATAACTTCCTCTTTCAATATTGGTAACCAGATCCTACTACATTCTGCCGAGGAATTTGCGACACAATTGGCCTCATTTAGCATAATTAGAGCCGCTTCTTTGATTTTTCTTTTTTTACCATCCGTTTCTTTTAGGACTACATTTGAATTATTCATTGAACATAGGGTTCAATAATTTATATAATTTTACATTTCATCAGTTGACTTTCTATAGTAGTATCAGTTGAACCTTTGGTCAATGTTCTGTTTCATAGAATTTTGGAATGTGCTGATTACATCTCCCATATTGTGACTGCTCATCCAAGTTGTCAGATTGTATTAGTTAATGATTATTACATTCACTAAATAATAAGTCTAAAATGTTATAATAAAAAAATTTTTATCAACCATCAACTTCAGAGGTTTTTAGAAGTTAATTAATTTTTCTTCAGTTGAAAAAACGTTTCTTGGCTTATTTTAGATGCCACTGAAGATGCTTTAGGAGCGAAAGTACTTGGACAAGATTTAGTCAAAACTGTACTCGATATCTGCCTCTTATTTGATTAAAATTTAATACGAAATGCCTGTTATAGAGGTAAAACTTAAGGATGAGTAAATAATTTAAGGGAAGGACTTTTTTAAGTTTGTAAAGTAGACCAGTGTGCCTAACTCTATCAAAGGCTTGAGAAATATCCAAAAAGGCTGCTAAATAGTATTTCCTTTCTTCTAGAGCTTTATAAAGAAAATTACAGAATCTATGTATTTGATGAGTGGTGGCATGTTCTTGTCTGAATCCAAACTGGTGGTTATGTATTAATTGGCAATCTGGAAGAATAAGTTATAGCCTGTCCACGAATATTTTTTCAAAAACCTTTGACATCATCAGCAGTAGGCTAATAGGTCTATATGATTTATTGTCTTCTGTAGATTTACTTCGCTTAGTTATTGCAATAATTTGTTCTTCTTTGCATAAAATGTAGTAGTAGCTGATCTTGGGATGGCATTGAATATCTGTGTCAAGTACAGAATTCCTTTTTTGGATAGTTCTTTTAGAATTTTAGTGGTAAACAGGTTATATCCAGGAGATTTTTTAGGGTTCAAGTCCGATTGTATCTTCTGGTAATTTTTTCTGGTTGTGAATTGGTCCAATGAGAGATCAAGTTGAAGCGGTGATTCTAAAAAACTTTAGGGTCTCGTTTGTTATGTTAAGGTTGTTAATATGTATAAAATATATTTATATAAATATATATATATATATATATATATATATATATATATATATATATATATATATCTTATAAGACTATTCATATAAACATTGATTTTAATTAGTTTAATTATTTTATTTAATCTAAGCATACTGTGTGAATATTTTGTCTTTTTGTTAGTTCATATATTAAGATGTGTACATTATTCAGTTGCATTTTGGCTGATCCCTCATATTTGTTTGGAAATTTCTTAGCATTAGAAAGAGAATAGTAGTACATATAATTTGTAAAAAATCTGTCATATAAGTAGCGCTACCTCTTAACTCTTAAACAAAAAAAATGTACACCACTGAAAGACCAATAATATCGTCATCATTTCCTGGAATTTAGTGTCCACATTTTTGATACTTAACTATACCTACTTTGTACTAGTGGGTGTTCCTCGATCTGAAACAAAGCCGTTTGGACATGTAAAAGTTACGCTGCCACCATCAGCCACATCTTCACATTGTATATGTTGATTTTTTGCATTTTTACAGATGATTTGTGATCCACTGGGTAATGACATTTTCGGGCATAATACTAAAAGTAATTTTAAGTGGTAATGATTATTTATTTTTAATTCAAGTAAAATAAAAATGAGATTATCAAGACAAGATATATGTTGTCCAAATTAGAAAATTATTCCTTCGTCTAACATTATATAAAAATTTATGTAACGTGGAGTTCAAAATACTGAAAAATAAAAACTAAAAAAAGTTTCTTCATGCTGTAAAAATTAACCATTTTTATTTTCTAGGGCGTGTAGATAGTTGTTAGCATAAAACAGAGACTGCACTTATCAGCATTACTTGGACTACTCCTACAGAACCACATTTTCAAAGATCAGTAAAAAAGCTTTATGCATAAAGCTGTTCCATTTTGGTACAGAAAATTGTGAAGTTAATCCAAACAGCATGTTACTTAAATTACAAGTTCATCAAAATGACAGTAATGCTGAACAATTTTATAATAATTTCATAAAATTCATAATTCATAAAAGTCTCTGTAGATAGGGAAGAGCGTGGCCACTGGGGTACAGTGGTCCGTTTGTAATAATTTTTAAACGTATTTAGTGTATATGTTGCCACCTAGCAGGCAGCTGCTAAACTGTATAAAGCAGTGGTTCTCAACCTGTGTTCCGCGGAACACTAGTGTTCCGCGAATTCCTTCCAAGTGTTCCGCGAAATACACGCAATCCTACATACCATTTTGCTAAATTACTCTTTTCAAATAAATATTTTCAAATTTTAAAATAGCCACTTACGTACATTTTAATTTAATAAAATTCTGCAGCGTAAATGTTCATTTACCCAACGTGACAACACCGCGTGGGCACAGTGCACACGTTGGATTTTATAAGCGCTGAGCGCTGAGCTCTGAGTCACCCACGCCACAGTCTGCAACTGAAAACTGAATGTTGAATTTGTTACATTGCACAAACGTAATACGTGAAAATCGCTGTGTCAGTTTTTTTATCATAACGCTTACGTACGGCTTATCTATCAAAGGTAAGTAATTGCATATTTTATACAAAATGTGAAGCATTAATCCGCATTATTTTGTTTAGAGACGAAGAAATTAAAACGGATAAGTTCCTCAAACTTAAAAGAAAAACTACTGTGGAACAACTCATAATTAATGATGATGAAGCGAGCACCAGCGGAGATACTGGAACTTTACGAAGTGGGGTTGACGACAAATCGAAGCGCAGCAAAAAAATGTTGAACCGGCAATATTTGGATGAATATTTGGATTATGGCTTCATTTGGACTGGGAAAGAAGACTGTCCAATTCCCAAGTGTATTGTTTGTGGGCAGACACTCGCTAATAGCGCAATGGCTCCGGCTAAATTAAAACGCCATTTTACTACCAAACACGCTAGTGTAGCTTCAAAAAATAAAGATTATTTCAAGCGACTTTTGGAGACACAAGCTAAACAAGCGAAACAATTTGAAAGGTCGCTAAACAATTTCCGACAAAACACAAATAGCTTCATATAAGGTCGCCGAATTAATTGCTTTGAAACAGAAACCACACACTGTTGCAGAATCTCTTATATTACCAGCATGTTGTGAGATGGTCAAAATTATGTTTGGCAACGATGCACAAAACGAAATACGGAAAATTCCTATGTCGGGTGATACAATAAGAAGGAGGATTGTTGATTTATCTGCAGATATTGAGGAAAAAGTTACAAATAAACTTTACAAAAAAAACTTCGCATTGCTGGTGGACGAATCCACTGATATTAGCAGCAAAGCTTATTTATTAGGATTTATTCGATTTGTCGACGAAGGTGAAATAGTCAATCAGTTTTTATGCTGCAGAGAACTTACAGCACGTACAGCAGGTCAGGATGTATTTGATTCCATCACGTCATATTTAGAGAAAAAAAATATATCATGGGACTTTTGCGTAGGAATTTGTACGGATGGTGCCCCTTCCATGGTAGGCTCCATAAAAGGTTTTTGTACCCTTGCAAAAAAGCGAAATAAAAATATCATATCTACGCACTGTTTCTTGCATAGAGATTCTCTAATTTCAAAAACGCTACCAGCTACTTTGAAATCTGTATTAGACCAAGTGATTAATGTCGTGAATTACATCAAATCAAGACCACTAAAAACCCGTCTTTTTAAACAACTCTGCATCTCAATGGAATCAAAGTATGAATGTTTGTTGCTGCACACCGAAGTTAGATGGTTGTCAAGGGGCAAAGTATTATGTCGAATTTATGAACTTAGAACGGAGCTGTTAACTTTTTTCCAAGAAGAAGGTAATGACACATTTACCACATATTTTGAAAATGATGCATGGTGCACTAAAGTGACATATTTGGCCAATATTTTTAATTATTTAAATGGCGTTAACTCAAGTATGCAAGGCAAAAATGAAAATATTTTAACATCCACGGACAAGCTGTTAGCTTTCCAGAAAAAATTGTCATTTTGGAAGAAGCGCATTTTAGAGACAAATAAAATGGATATGTTTCCACTGCTTTAGAATGAAGGTGATGAAGATAAAGAACAGGAAATCACGCATATAGTTGCAGAACACTTATCACTATTAGAGGAGACAATTGCCAGGTAGTTTCCATCTCTGAACGTAGAAAAATATGACTGGATAAGAAGTCCTTTTAGCACAAGTAATACAGCCAATTTCCAGTTTTCTCTGAACCAAGAAGAAGAATTTATTTCGTTGTCATCTGATCGTACTCTGGAAATTAAGTTTTCAGAAGTGAATGTTCAGGAATTTTGGATCTTGGTCCAAGAGGAATATCCACTTCTTGCCAAAAAAGCGATTAGTATTTTAATACAGTTTTCAACGTCCTATTTATGTGAATTTGGGTTCTCATCTTTAACAAACATTAAAAATAAGAAACGGGAAAGGCTGCTAAACTTAGAACAAGAAATGAGAGTAGCTCTTTCCCACATCAGGCCTGATATTGAGCAAATTTGCAAACGACACCAGGCACCAGTGTCTCACTAATTAGAAGTATTTACTCATATGATGTATTTTGAGAATTACGCTTTTGTTAATTTTAAAAATGTTTTTTGTTTTCCTATTTTAAGTAAAATTTTACAAATTTGAGTACGTATAATAAAGTTTATTACAAAATTTATGTGCTAATCCTAATTTGTTTATCAATATATGCATGGTATTGCTTTGGTGTTCCGCAATTTTTTTCGGTAATTAAAAGTGTTCCGTCGCCACAAAAAGGTTGAGAACCACTGGTATAAAGAATAGCTGTTCGGTATGCTTTAGTTCCAAGATTTGCCACAGATTACTTTTATCGCAGTTTTGTGTTTACTTTGCAGGACCTGTAAAAAATTCGTGAGTTTTGTTTTTTATACCATTGCAATTTAAAATTATTTTTGGCTAGTATTATACGTGTATATTACTATTCAAACATTATACTAATAACCAACTCAAGTTAACAGCTGTATAATTATAAACAAAGTATTAGATACAAAAATTGTTTTTAGGTTAGATTGATACACAGTGGCCATAGTTAGTGGGGGCAGAGTGGTCACTGTTTATTATAAAATTTTGAAGTGACAACTGTAGCTAGAACTTATTATGAGTCAACATGTGTTTAACTTTTTGCATACCTAGTTTCTTTTGAGACCTCCATATATTCTTAATTGCTTCATATTGCGATAATGCCACGAGAAAGAAAACGCAAATATAGTATAGTTTTAACAGATTAAAACTATATAAAATCAGCAGTTAGATCTGTACTAAATGAAGGTCTCTCTACAAAATCGGTTATAGTTCGCTACAATATATCACAGACTACATCATCATTATCTATAACAGTACAACCCTGCGTGAGTCCTAACCTCCTCAAGAATTTTTCTTCTCTCCAGTCGTCCTTATCCATTGCCTTTCTCCGCCAAGCACGTATTCCCATATTTCTCATGTCTTCATCGATGTTATCAAGGAACCTTGTTCTGGGTCCGTCGTCTCTGACAAATGGGTTTATCAAGGAGCGTTTTGTAGCTGGGTCATTTTGTTCCACCCGTATTACATGCCCCATCCACCTTAAATGTCCTATCTTAATATGTTTGCCGATATCTGGTGTCTGGTATATTCTATAAAGTTCAAAGTTGTATCGTCTTCTTCACACTCCATTGTCATCCACTGCTCCATAGATTCCTTAGTCGTTGCTCCTTAGTACTTTTCTTTCAAAACATCTTAACATATTTTCATTACTTTTTATTAGAGTCCAGGTCTTTGAACTATATGTTAGGACTGGGAATATTATTGTTTTTTAGAGCTTAATTTTTTTTATTTCTCGATCTAATTGTGGATTTTAGAAGGAGATTGAGCCTAAATTAATACATGTTGGCTATGCAAATTATGTGGTTTATCTTTGTAGTAGTATTATTTTCATTGCATACAATCTTGCAATGACTAACAACAAAATTATTCCAGAAAGCTGGCACCGGCACCAGTCTGCCGGAATGGAGTGGTTTACGTCGTTTATACAAAGAAATCCAACAATCTCCTTTCAAACAGCAGAAGCAACTTAATATCAAAATCTATAGTCGTTTCAACAAGGCCGTTATCCATATATTTTATAATGATTTACTAAATCTATCTGTAAAATATCCAACTTTGAATGCAAGAAAAATCTATAATATTGATGGAATAGTCTTAATCGCCGTTTAGGGATTAAGTAAAATAGTTGTAAAAAGAAGACTAAAGCAAGTTGGATAAACTATCTTTTCTGAACGAGACGTTCTGATTACCATTTAAGGTTCGATGATTGCTCTTGGAAACTGTATACCTCCTCTTTTGATATTTCCCCGAGTCCATTTTGAAGATAACAAGATAAATACCACTTCCATAAAGACAATAGGGGCAGCTTTACAAATGGATTGGATAACGTTTAAAACATTTGTAGACTTAATGAATCATTTTATCATGCACACCCGGCCCTAATTACAAAAATCTGTGGTACAATTAATGGATAACCATGAAACACATAATTTGTATTTCGAGGTCATTAGGCTAGCAAATAACTCTGGCGTTATTGTTTTTACAATACCATCACATACAAGTAATAAATTGCAATCACTTGACTAATGTGTATATGGTTCCCTAAAGCGGTACTGTATTGAGGTACGTAGATCCTGGCTTGCACCAAATCCTGGGAAGAAAATATCAATATTCGAAATTACAAAGCTATTAGGGATTGAATTTACACAAAAAATTGAGTATCTCCCTTTAAAATCACTTTAAATTCCAATAAATAACTTCTTTAGCTTAAGTCGTTTCTAACACGTTTTCTTGGTTACCAAAAAAATTTTTATTAGAGAATAATGTCCTAGCCCCAAATTTTGTAACACTATAAGCGTTGCGCCCATATCCGAAAGCCAGTATAAAATATATACAGCTAAACGGGGTGGGTGAAAAGACTGCAAAAGTTTTAACAAGCATACCAGTTATGAATGAATTAGAAGAAGAAATAATGAAAAACACGAGACAGAAAACGAAAGAGACATAATGTAAAAGACTGATCAAAAGCAAAAGAAAAAAACCTATTATGGAACTTACAGAATTCACTAGGGAAATTGAAATTGAGAAATGTCTTGACAAATGCTTCTAGTTGCAACTTATCTGAAAATTCTGAAGAAAATTGGACAGTGCAAATGTTATTAAAAAGTCATTTATTTTAGATAAATTTTCAACAAAAAAAAGATGGAATATTTTGTTAGTTAAGTAAATCATATTAATATGAAGTTTAATGAATAAATCATAATTTTTTAAAGTAAAATTGTATATAGGTTTTTATTTCCAAATATTAAAGATGATGCAACAGTTCCAATTAGCGATACAGTTACCGTTCTTCCGCAACCTTTAAATTCTGAAGGTATCTCAAAATTTCAAACCACTTATAGGTTTAGTATTGACCTTGGCAACTATCTTCTTCAAGTGCCATCTGCGCGACAAAGGTCGGCAATCATCATAGCTATTCGGACATTTGAGACGGCTGCTCTGAAACGTTCATTTGTTGTACATCCGTACCACTTTCGCAGGTTGCGCAGCCATGACACTCTACGCCTCCCTATGCTTCTTTTTCCTTGGTTCTTTCCTGCATAATCAGTTAGAGCAAGATGTATTTCTCTCCACGTGTAATATGTCCAAGATATTCCAATTTTATTGTTTTAATTGTATTTAAAATGTCTATTCCTTTATTCATCCTTCTCAGAACCTCTTTGTTTTCTACGTGTTCTGTCCACGATATTTTCAGAATTCTACTATACACCCACAGCTCGAATGATTCCAGTTTATTCATTGATGTCGCATTCAAGGTTCAAGATTCCATTCCATAAAACAAAGCCGAAAAAACATAGCTTCGCCAACCTAACTCTTAATTCCAATTTTAAATCCCTTGTACATAGCACTCTTCTCATTTTGTTGAAATTTGCGCTAACCTTTTCTATTCTGATTGTAATCTCCTGAATGTAATCATTTGTGGAGTTATTCATTGTTCCCAGATATGAATATTTATCCACTTGTTCGACCTTTATTAGAAGATTCTCGTTATTTCTTTGAGTTTTCGATATTTTCATCAACTTTGTCTTCTTGACGTTCATTGTTAGACCGTACTCTTTTCCATACTCCACTATTCTGGTCACCATTCTCTGAAGATCTTTAGTATTTTCGGCTAAGATTACACTGTCGTCTGCATTTCTAATGTTGTTAATGGGAACTTCATTTACCTTTATTCCAGCTGTTTCACCCTCTAGAGCTTGTTTCAGGATCTCTTCGAAGTAGGCATTAAAAAGAATTTGCAACAATACGCATCCCTGTCTCACTTGACGTCTAATTTCAACTTTTTCTGACAGCTGTTCGTTAACACATACTTTTGCTCGCTGTTTATAGTATAAATTTGATATGATCCTGAGGTCGTTGTAGTCAATGTTTGACTTCAGGACATTAATTAATTGTTCATGTCGTACTTTATCGAATAGCTTATATCTTATATACAACTTCTTTGTAATAATTTTAAGTTGATTAACCAATATTTCCATGTATGTGGTCGCTGCTCCCTGCATGTGAAATACAGTGGCCAGTTTTCATGCTCCCAAAAAATTATTATTATTTAGTTCATGTATCATTTGTTTTATTTAAATATATTTTTGGTAAGTAGTAAAAGTCCACTTTATTATATTCATGTAAACTACATACCAATGACGTCATTCACACATAAGAAAAAAAATAAAAACTAAAAAGTGGCCACTGTGACCCGTTACCTACATTTTGTTTATATGCGTTTTCAGGAAAATAAGGACTGCCAAAATTTCTATATTAGGTAAAGAAAATATTGTATTAAGATGTAAAAGATTTTTAAATTAATAAACTTACTAAGACAAGTTGGTGGGTTGTAGGAGTTTGCACAATCGTAATGTGGAGACATTGACGATAATATATATCCCCTATTACAGGAAAACGTTAAAATAGTGTTGGATAATACAATATCACCAGGTTTTTTTCCTACGCCATCTTCGATAGACCATTTTCCATTTCTTGGATGTGGTGGAAGTAAGCAGTCTTCTAAATAATTAATAGTCATTTCCCTATTTATAAATGTGTAGTAGAATGATACGCTAGTATATAGGGCGTTTGTTTGGTAGTTACATTTGGAAGTATATAGATTTGGAGCTATGCTTACCAGTCCTTGAATATAGTATCTGCAAAATATATACAGATTACTGCAGTCCTTAAACACTAGAATTAATTAAATTTATAAAAAAATTTAAAATATATAAGAATTCTTATATTATATAATATAAGAAATAATTTATTAAAAAAGTTTAACAGAGATGATCTGAACTGAAATGCTAAACCTATAAATCCCTGATCAGACTAGCGCTCTCCTAAGGTACAGAAACGAACGAATTTCAACTGGAAATAATTAACAGATATACATTTTAATATATGTGCCGTTTGGTATGGTGTTTTGAAGAGACGATACAATATTTCGAATTGTACCAAATATTTTAAAACTGTATTTTTAGCTGACAGCTAAGAGTAGAAATGTGAATAAATTTATTTATGATAATTCCTACTAATTTACTAAACAAAAACGCAAACTGTCAAATTGTTTATAACACTATTCAATACAGGCTGTAAAAGATAACACTCTGTATTATCCAGTTGTTATATTAACTAAGGTATTAAACCTAAGCCATCGTGTGGAGTACGAGCCACCAAAGAAGAATATCTCAACAGTTTTTCCAACTTGTCGTAAAAGGCGGCTAAATGGAGCAGCATTTCTACTGTCCTAAACCCTATTTGCTCTTCCCCAACACCTGGCCGAACATAGGCGGTATAACCATAACACATAACATAACACCATTTGCCTAGAGAAAATGCCTACGTACTATAACCAGAGTAAACCAAGGCTGGTTCAGAAGCTAAAGCCAGCAGCTCTTACACTGAACTCAGGTGCAATAGGCCAATAACTTGTTCACCGTAAACTTAGCTATCACGAGTGCTATGAATTTAATCTAACTTTGGAAGCAATTATAAGACAACTAGATAGGAACGGCTACACTCAAATATTTGCATATGGGGATAATGTTGCCACAATAAGCCGCATTAGAAAGGTATTACGCGAAAAAGATATAGATTTAAAACGGATAGATGTTGCATTTGGTCTCAATATAAACGAAAGAAAAACAAAATATGTGTAGTGCACAAAGTTGAATCGACATGAGAATCTAAAGGTAGACAATCATACCTATAAAAATTCCTCCACCTCTCCTTACCTAGGCTAAGGTAATAAGTGCTTTTATGCATACAAAGACTGAATGAAAAGTAAGTTATAGAATTGTAAGTCTAAGCTTAGAATCTACAAAAGAGTAATGAGGCCAGTGGTCACATATGAATGTGAAACGTAGATTCTTTCAACCACCGATATAAATGAATTGAGAATATTTGAGTGCAAAATGTGAAGAAGGATATTTGGACCAACTTATTGTAGCGATGGTTCGTAGAGACTTAAAATGAACTATAGCTGAATAAATTAGTGCAGATCGTAGATATCGTTAAATTTGTGAAGTCGCAAAGACTAAACTGATTTGGTTACTTAGAAAGAATGCCAGAAAATCAAGCTATAAAAGTAATACAGAAATGGAAAGCACAAGAAAACAGGATAAGAAAAAGGCCCCGCAAAAAGTAGATAAACGATGTATTGGAATATCTTAAAACCATGATCAGGCAGTAGTGAAGAAAAGTATCCAAGAGGGCAGAATGCAAGAATGTTATTTTCGTGCTAAGACCCACAAAGGATTGTAGCGCCATAAGAAGAAGAATTGAATTAAAACATAAGAAGCTACAGAATGCTACAGCAATTTACCCCTATATTAGGCTATATAATTAATAAAAATTTTTGTTGTATTTTAGTATCGTAATTTTTTTTACCTATTGTCTTCTCGATTTTTAAAGACCAGGCCACTACCACTATCCCCTTGGCAAACAGCAATTTGCTGATCCACTCGTCCAGCGCAAATTTTGTCTAAAAAGTTATACTGTTCCTCCCAGCTTTCGGGTAGCTCCCTAGCGCATGTAGCGCCTTCTTTGTATGGTATCTTAATTACTCTGAGACGTTCAGAGGGCTTTTCTTCTTCGGTAAGTCCCCAACCAGCTACCTAAAAGATCGAGAATTATTTAGATATAGCTACAATAATTTAATATCACTTACCTCTCCCACTTGATAATTTTTCAAATATATGTTATTAACATTATCAAAACATGCTGGCTGAATTACTGGTTCAAGTTTGAATAGTTCTTGTGTAATAAGTAATGCCAAGTCAGCAACATATCGCTGACTGACTCCTCTATATCCTGGATGAACTACTACCTCTGATATCTAAAACACATAAAAATAAAAATTAAAGTAATGGACTTGACCGTTGCACGATGGAAGTTCATTTTATCTAAATATAAAACACTGAAAACTTTTATTTTCTACAGTTCCATGCATCTTACATTAATTCATTCCATAGTCATACTGAACTGACAATACAAATAGAACAAAAGCAATGCAAAAACTTTCTAGATCTAAAACTTATAAGACATAAAAACAAAAATTTATATAATTCATAATCCCATCCTTCACAACATATTATATTAGCAGCTTATCACACCATATTATCTAGAATAACAGAAGCTCCCATAAAAAAGCTTTTAGACCAGTGATTCTCAAAATGTGGGGCGCGCTTTTAATAATGGGGGGCCGTGAGCATATAAAAAAACAATAACAACATTAACTAATTTACCAAAGTCAAAGCAAAATATCATTCTGACAATAAAAAATACAACATACATAATACAATAGATACACACAAAAAGATTTGTATTAGTACTACACATGACGTTAATATTAAATTATGAAAAAGTTTAAAATATATTAGTGACTTCCTTGTGCCTATTTTGCAAAGCAAAGTTTGTCAAAACAATTCTATATCTGGTCTTCTAACTAAAATAAACGTTTTGTTTTGCAACTTCATTTTTTATTTGCGCCCAATTTCTATAGGGTTCAAGTCTGAATGATATGGCGGGAGTTTTAAAATAACATGTCCCCAATCTTACAGCACTTTGTTAAATTTATATAGGATATTTTCTTGTTTGTGTCGTTTAATGATTTCATACAATTGCGGTTTTAACATTGACGTTATAAATGGTAAATTTTTTTCTATCAACAAAGATATCATATCCATTTTTTTAGAATTACTGGTGGATGCTTTGTTAATTTGTGCATTATGATATGACACATTGTCAGTAATAACAACAGATCGAACATGCAAATTGGAGATTAACTGTTCTTTCGTCCAGTTTTTATAATTTTGATATAATCATCATAATAATATATCATCATAATTATCATGATATATCATCATGATAATCTCCTGTCTTATCTTCTGAGTTAAAAATCAAAAGGTCATTCTGTATAAAGCTTATCTCCCCATCACCATGTACGATAACCAACCTACTTCCTTTTGAAATGTTTTTAAACAATCCTTTGCCACTGTCATCTATCCAGCTATTTGGAAAAGTGTGTTTTGCATGTATATAGGTTTCATCAACATATACAATTGGCCTACCTTCGCTTCTGTAATATTTAATTTTGTCCAAATATTTAATACGTAAAGCACGAATATCATTTCGTTCAATTAATAAACGTCGATTATCTTTCGTTTTCTTACATTTAAATCCCAAATATTTTTCAATTCTGTAGAGAGAACTCACACTTCCAGTCCACTCGTACACTTCTTCAAGCCTTTTCTGCGAAAACTTCAATGTGACACGACTACGTTCAGTCTCATGAAAATGATAATTGGTATTTCTAATAAACTAATACTAAACTAATAAACTGTTTATCATACTACCTCAAGTCTGTCACGGTTGCTTTCCTTTTAGCAAGTGTTGCAGCTGAAAATTTTAGTGTATTATTTCACTTTGCGTTTGTTAACATACTCGCTTGTTGAATGATCCTTTCTATTGTACGTAAAGATACTACAGTAGCTTCACTCACACGTTGTTTAATACTGGTTCGATTATCTTCAGAAAATAGTATTTGCATATATTTAAATACATTGTAAACTATTACTTTGGATTCTGGTATCAATCTGATCTGTTTACTCGTACTACACTTAACCATCTCCATTATACAAAATAGTTCTAATATGCATGGTAGCACCTTTCTTGTTGAGACTCAACAACATATTAAGACTAAATTACGAACTCCTTTGAAATCCAGTGACTAGAAATTCTCGGAAATAATTCTTATCGGTGCTTTGTATGTCCTTAACGAGTCGTTAAGGGGTCAATAATAATGACTTAATATTTACTGTTTTAAGGTAACTAATATTAACTTAGAAATTAACTTTTACCAAACTTTATAGAGTATCAACTATTAAAAATAGTATTATAACAAACAAAAAGTTTGTATTCTATAAAACAATCTGTTTAAAAAGTTAAACTCCATTTATGATTTAAGTGAGTAATACTTTTGTAGTGCGATTTCAAATATTTTAATTTGTTTAATAATGCAACGCCACTGCATAAGTCTGATCATAGATATTCTGTTGTCTACGCGATTAACTATTTCGTGAAAGGGCTCGAGACTCGATTTGAAATAAGCTGTACTTACCAGATCGTGATATTATCTATCTGTGACAAAAGCAAATCACATTCCACAATTTTTTTTGATGGGTATTCCTAAGTTCAAGCTGATTACATGTAATCTAATGAACTATTTTCCAATAAAATCGTCCCTGGAACGTAACTCAAAAATATTGACAATACCATTTTAAAGTTATATGTTTAAAAATGTATAATATATGTTTAAATTGTCAATATTAATGAGTCAGATAAAATTAAATTGTAAAAACAATTTTTAACCAAGTACCAAAAACAAAATTTGTTTAATTTATTAAAATTTTATATTTTGAGGAGGAGTTCCAAAGTAGAAATCGAAACGTCAAACTTATTTTAAGGTAAAAATGTAACTTACTCCCAATAAAAATAGTATGTATGTTTGGAGAGGTTTGGCTTCGAACTGTGTTCATTAAACACAGATATTATTAATGCAATATTACTGACTTAAAATTAAAAGTATTGTATTATTCGTACTTGCATGTACTTGTGCATAGTATGTACTTCATAGTGACTACCTTAAAATTTTTTAGGCTATTTATGCTTTTTTTTTGTTTTTTGAGAAAATCAATTAAGAGATGAATAGTAAAATAGTATATATATATATATATATATATATATATATATATATATATATATATATATATATATATATATATATATATTATATATATATATATATATATATATATATATATATATATATATATATATATCAAATAATATTATTTGTTTAATTTAAGTTGTACCTTTCGATATTGAGCATGTTCATTATCGCGTGGGTCTCCAAAAGCGTTGTAAAGTTTTCCAGCTGCGACTTGAAAGTTTTCTCTACCAAGAGCGTTACCGTAATTATCAGTAACACAATGAGCAGCTAAAAAAATTGTATTATTTTTATTAGTCTTATATTTCTAAAATTGTCTTCCAAAATTGCCACATCGCTCAATAAGTCTCAAATATGACTGCGAAAAGTTGAGCTGACTCGACGCTAAATTACAAATGACACAACTTTAACATTTTCAATATCTGTTAAATAAAAAATCAGTCAATTAATTAAATTATTGTTAAAATTTAGGGGCTTTTATAAACATCAAATATACAAGGCGTTTCAATAAAAATAAAGATGATGGACTATGCTAGACTTACGTGAATCATCCTGTATATTTAAATTTATGTTTAAAACGCACAAATACTAATTTCAAATTTGACAGATCTTAGTGCTTTTTGTAATTTTTTAAAATAAGGACACAAACACTTTTGTGATTTCAAGTGGGTCATAGTGATTTCCACACTGTATAATAAGCTGTCCACTAATATCCAGGAAAGTCACTAAGGAAGATTTAATTTCGAGTTAGAAAAAATTATTTTTGTAAACTACTTTAGAAGCAATTAGACTTAAATAATTTTAAATTTTTTTCTTTTGATTTGTTTATTTCTGTATTTCATTTCAGATGTCTGTGCAGTAAAGCATTGTGCAATTTCCGTTTGAAAAGCAGTACTTAATAGGCTTCATAGTAATAAGGGTTTTAAAGAGTCTTCTAGTCCAGTGATTCTCAACGGTCCGCAAACAGTTTTCATGTAGTTCGCAAAGTGAACAGTCATAAAATAATAATCAATTTAAATCTTGGTTTTTGCGAGGTAAATTAATGCGTCGGCCTATTTTTTTTTAACTTAAAACGTTTCCAGACGATCAAACGCGCATTCGTCTCAATCTTCCGTGTATTTTCCCTCACGCGCCGAATAGTTAGTTCCATTATCTTCGTTTAGTTTCGGCCGCTGTCGTGTACGTACAGGACACTGCGTCTTTGATCGCGCCATTTTCACCACTACTCAGTGACTCAGTGCTGGCTCAACTGTCAAGTAACGAGCGTGCGTATTTTTTGCTTGGTGATTATAGTTTACTAAAGTGATCAAACTTTCGGGTTTTTTTTAGAAGACGGAGAGTGAGAACGTTAAAACAGAATGTTCTACCAGTAATATTGCCAGTGATCTCACAATAATAACTTAAACTGGTCCAACAAGAAAGGCTGCTAACCGTAAGTACAATCCCGACTACATGGCATGTGGATTTACATCAATTGAAGAATTTGGTGTCCAGTTACCTCAATGTGTATTTTGTGCAATGAAGCCGGCAAAATTAACTAGGAACTTTGAGCATAAAAATTTTGTTAAAGACATGTAGATTTCTTTAAGAGGAAGGAGACGGAACTAAAATCGTCAAAAATATCCTTAAGTCATACTTAACTTAGGATAAAGTTACTTTCAAGGCGTCGTATCAACTTTCACTTAGAATCGCAAAAACCAAAAAACCCGTTATTGTTGGTGAGGGATTAGTTTTACCCTGTATTGTAGATGCAACTAAAGCAATTTTAGGTACGCTTAAATGTAAATACGCCAAACAAATGCAAAATATTCCTTTTTCCAATGACACCATTTGTAGGAGAATTGAAGATATGGCATCAGGTTAAAGATTTTTGCTGTACAACTTGATGAATCTACAGATATTACCAATAAAGCTATTCTTTTTGTTTATATACGATTCATAGATAAAGACAACAAAAAATTATCTGAGGAGTTCCTGACCTCGATTGAGTTGTAAGGTAACACAACCGGAAAAGACATTTTTAAAGCCATTGACGGATGTGTCACACTTAAAAATCTTTCTTGGAAAGACTGTGTAGGACATTGCAGTGATGGTGCCGCGGCATTGACAGGTCACAAAACAGGCTTGATAAGTTCTGTAAGGAAAGAAGGAAACCGTAATATTGTTTTAACACACTGTATTATTCCCGACCCTATATAAAATATTATATTAAGTCCCGACCTAAATAAAGTTTTGACTACTGTGGTAAAGGCAGTAAACTTTATAAAAAGTAATGCTTTTAGTTCGAGATTGTTTGCTTTGTTATGCGAAGACATGGAATTCATTCATTCCAATCTTCTTCTATATACCAATGTTCAGCGGCCGAGTTTTAGCGAGATTTTATGAACTTCGATTTAGCGGAAACACTGTGTGATGGATAATTTATAGCCCAGTTAGCTTTTTTAGCAGATATTTTTGAACAGCTCAATATATTGAATCTAGGGCTGCAGGGACCATCTGAAACCGCATTTGACCTTTGCAAAAAAATTAATGTATTTAAGAAAAAATTGTTGCTATAGGAGTTCGAAGCTGGAAAAGGATCGTTTGAAATGTTCAACTTGTTTTCAGATTTTATCTCTGAAAATGAGTCTACAATAAAAAAGTCCTATATTAAATCGCTTCAAGATTACTTTGAGAAGTACTTCTCTGCTGATACAGATGTGAGGAAAAATAATCTGTGGGTGATTGATCTCTTCTTAGCTACCCACGATAATAATCTGTGTATTCAGGAAAATAAATAGCTTATTGAAATTTCATCCGATGATAATTTAAAAGTAATAAAATCTCACTGCGAAAATGTTGCAGATTTTGGATGGTATTACTTACTTGATGAAAATCCACTGCTAAGTGAAAAACCTTTTCCAAGAAATGACTGTCCATTAACATTGATTTTATGTTAATGGTTTCCCACGAAAAAAATTATTTTATTATTATAAATTATACGATAGGGCATGAATTTTTGAAATTGTTAATATTTCCTAGGCAAAATAAAAAGAATGAACATCTCTTCAAATTACACTTTTAACACTTTCATTAATTTCCACTGTTCATCCTCCTGATTTTACAACAGGATTCGTGATGACTCCTTTCTTGTTCTCCTTTCTTAAATTATAAAATGACTTCTTGGAACATCTACCTTGGTTTCCAAGGTGTGGCAAGACAAAAATGTTAAAAGCAAGCGCCAAGCTGTTTTGGAGGAATTGTCTACAGGTATGAAAGCACCGTCGGGAAAAGGGGCAAGGCGTATAACTGCCCACATTGGAAATTCTGAGGGTTTTCGTAAAGAAGGATTGCTCCTATTTGAATCCAAAAAAGAATCCAGTAGCTCGACAATTCTTTCCGGCTCCTGGCTTGTTCTAGGATTTTCCGCCGTTCTGTTCTGTTTTTTGCTTTGTTTTTCCAGTTGGTAATTTTAAGTGTTTTCAGATCTTGTTCTACTTGTTCCATGTATCTAAGTTTGGGTCTTCCCTTTGACCTTCTCCCTACTGGTGTTTGCCTCATTATATGTTTTGGCGTTTCAGTCTCCAACATTCCTTCAACATGGCCCATCCAGCGCAGACGTCCGATATTTATGGACGTTACGATCTCGGGTTCATTGTATGCTGTGTATAGTTCAAAGTTATATCTTCTGCGCCATATGTCATTTTCCTTTACTCCCTTATATATGTTTTTAAGGATTTTTCGTTTAAATGTACCTAATAGGTTCTCATCGCTTTTCGACAGTGTCCACGTCTCTGATCCATATACAAGGACCGGTTTTATCAGGGTCTTGTATATTTTGCATTTGGTTTTTCTTGTGATGTTGTTAGATCTTAGATGTTTAATTGGTCCATTATATGTTTTATTAGCGATATGTATTCTTCTCTTAACTTCTTCAATGATATTGTTATCTGCGGTAACTAGTGAACCTAGATATGTAAAACTTTTCACGTTTCGATGTTATAGTCTCGTATTGTCAGATTCTGTAGGTTTCTTTAGCCTGTCGATTCACTGGCCTTCATGTATTTGGTTTTTATTTCGTTAATGTTTAGGCCACTGTTTTGTGCCGCTCTTTCTATCGCTTTAAATGCTTCTATCATCTCTCTATTTTGAACAAATGCTGAATTTTATACTAGAAAGTTCGATTAAATAATAAAAACGAGGTATTAAATAATAAAAACATATACTTTTGGGATAACCTTCTAAAATTTGAGCTTTTGCAAATCGCTAGGCAATACATACCTTTACACGCATCAAGAATGCATGTTGTAGAAGAAATGACCAAAAACCTTTACATTACGGTACTCAGATTGCCGCCTTATCACTGTAAATTAAATCCTATAGAGTTGATTTGGGCCCAAGTAAAAGGGATCTTAGCAAAAAATAACACCACTTACAAACTTGCAGAAGTTAAAGAACTTTTTAAATGCGCTTTACACAATGTCACTGCCTTAAACTGCAACAAATGCATTGAAATTGTGATAAAAGAAGAAGAAAAAATGTGGGACTTGGACAATAAATTAGACATCTTGGTGGAACCAATAATTATTAACGTGACTAATGAAGACACCTACCTCCACGGATGAAGGATACGTCAACACGATAATGCATAATGTGATATTTCTTATATAATTAATTTGTATTATAGTAATATGTATTATTTCCATTAATTTTAATAAAATTTTTGAAAATTATTAACATAATGTAATAAAAAAAAAATAATTATTTTGTGCACGCCCATGTACGTTTTACACTTGTAAATGAAACCATTATAAGCTCATTAGCTATTGTCTAGGAGACTCTTTAAAACCTTTATTACTATAAAGCCTATTAAATACTGGTTTTCAAACGGAAACTACAGGGACATTTTAAATGAAGTATAGTTAATATTTAAAAAAAAAACATTTCTGTAGTAACATAGATAACTTAAATTTTATAGCTAACACCTTACTTAAAGCAAAGTCTCTTAAAAAGTAATTATGCTTGAATAGTAGAATTGCGTATGGCCATTGTTAAGTTAAAGTTGTTTTATTAGTATAACATTAGACTTATTAAGGGAGGTGTTATCTTGCACTCAACAATATCGTTACTTACCGGTTATAACAACTCTACGACTGACCAACGTTCCGCCACAGACATTCTCGTATTTTCCTGCTAATTTCTTAAACATAGCTATAACCCATGGATATTCATATCCTTTAACATCAGTACCACCCCAAGTTAGGGGTGTTGTATCCGTAGTAACTTTCTTTCCACAAACTATTCAAAAAGGTTTAAAATTAGATTCATATTATCACAAATGTAACAAGATGTATAACTATGTAGCATTTTTTGGTCTACTTTGTATATCATAAAAGTGCCAAAAGGTTTTTATTTAAAATTTCAAATTGCATTTTAGATTTTTAAAAGAAAATAATTATAATCCAATTGTTTATTTAGGTTGCAAAATGCCGCAGGGCGAAACCAAGCGCTGTTTCTTTTTTATTTCCTGAATTATCTCTTCCTCTTAAATTATTTTAAATTAGGTATATCAGTGTTAAACAACCAGGAAACCCTTATTATTTAATTAAATGATATAGACTACAATTAAAGTTTGTGGTAACATAAGCAAACCTCAATGCGTTCCGCAAGCGCGTGATTTTAAATCTGCATGTTAGATATTTACAGTCGTCAGTGACGAAAATATCACCGAACGTCTAAAAATCATACGAACAAGCCAAATTTTGACAAAAATATTAATTTGGATACCCCAAAAAGAGCCAAAAAAAGTTTACTAGCTTCCCGAGTTTTCCATAAAATCATCCTTGTAGTGAGGTACAAACACAAAAAAAATCGATTTACCAAGAATCTGTACATCATAGAACAAATGTTTTAAATAAAAATGTAGATGAGATAATTTTAAACAAAAATGTTTATTAGCACTTTGATTCAGCACCTTTTTCCAATTACCACCTCGAAGACTCTACGCCTAGAAATCTCCAGCTGACTGTCCAAAAAAAAAATTATTAGAAACCAGATTGACTACACCATCCTCAACAAACGATTTCAGAATTCTGTAAAATCCGCAAAAACAAATCCGGGAACCGATGTTCCATCAGACCATAATCTTTTACTAGGACGTTTCAAAATCCACATGAAAAAAGTCCATACGACAAAATCAAACAGAAGATTAACAACAAAATAAACAGCATGGTAATCTCAGATATGAATAAAAAAAAACATAAGTATGGATGATATGTGAAATAAAATCAAAAATATCTGTAATTCAGTGGTACATAATAGACTTAAACCAGAAAACAATGTAAAGAAATAGATGTGGATGAGACAAGAAATATTATAGATAATGGAAGAACGAAGAAAACAGAGAAAAAAGAATAAGGAAAGGTATAAAGAAGTAAACAAAATCATTAAGCAAAAGATAAAAGAAGCCAAAAAATCATGACTACAAGATCAATGCATAGAAATAGAATCCATAGAACAGAAGCATGACACTTTTAACCTATATAAAAAGATGAAATTCTCAAAGAACTCAAAAACGGGAGGAAACGGATCACGAAGTCATTACTTAATACTAGATGAGCACAACCATCTGCTCTACGAGAAATGAGAGATGGAGGCAATCCATAAAATAATTATTCAAGGAAGAACAACAGACAGAACTCAGCGTTTCTGGATGTTTAGGACCAGAAATAACGCTCAGTGAAGTAACAGATGCAATAAAAAGACTAAAAACCAACTAAGCACCTGGACCTGATAACATACAAGCTGAAATATTGAAACTATTTGAAAACAATCAACTCAACTCCTAACGAGTCTACTAAACAAAATCTATGAAACTTAAATAGTGAATGAATGAATGAAAATAATTACAGAATAATAAGCTTAATGAGCCATGCACTCAAAATCCTTCTATCTGTTAGTCACTCTTGTATGTATAGAAAACTTGAAGAAAACATTAGCAGTTTGGGTTTAGAAGCGTACTGCGAACGCGAGATTCCCTATTTTCCATACAAATATTGATATACAGGGCTCGAGACGTAAATTGTGAAGTCTACGCATGCTTTATGAATTTAAAAAAAGCATTTGTAGTATTGATGACAATAATTTACGCCTAATTAAAATTTATACTTACACCAAAGGGCAAACTGTACGAGTAGACAACGAAGCCTCACAAGAATTCACGATGAAACGCGGAGTAAGTCAGAGCTGTATTTTGTCACCGACGTTGTTCAATACTTACTCGGAAATGCTATTCAGGGAAGCTATTGATGGTTTAAGAAAAGGTATGAAAATCAATGGTGAAATCATAAACAATTTAAGATATGCGAACGATACGGTTTTGATTGCTGATAATGCGGAGGATCTGCAAACATTAATAGACCGTGAAGTGGAAGCCTTGACAGATCCGGCATGAAATTAAACTGTAAAAAGACCAGAATTCTTGTAGTAAGTAAAAATGACGTAATACGGCAGAGTGTCTTGGACAAAAGAGTGCCTTGGCACTCTTTTGTCCAAAGGTTGGGAAACTGGTCCTAAAGGCGGATGAATCGAAAAATATGTCAACGGCGTAAGGATGCAGAAGGCAACGGGGAACCACTGCATTAAAGACTCTTAGAGTACCCCTAGTAAAGTCATGAATGGCAAATGACAAGTAGACTAAACAAACTTACTGATTATGGAGCACGAAATCCAAGATCCGGCAGGGGAGGAATAACTGTAGATCACAGGGCCTCCCAGGTCGTAAACCAGAGAAATCCCTGTGGACTTAAGACATTGAAAATAGCAACTTAGAATGTCAGAAGATTATATGCAACTGGTAAATTAGCGAACGTACTGCTTGAAATGGAAAGCCTCCAAATTGATATTTTAGGTATAAGTGACGTACAGTGGCCAGGTTCAGGCAAACAAATTACAAATAATGGAACCATGTATTATTCAGGTAACAACGAGGTCAATCATCGCTATGGTGTTGCTATCTTAGTTGCAAAAAAGGTCAATTACTCTGTGGTAAGTTTTATTCCTTATTATGATAGGATCTTATCAATACAACTACAGTCTAAAAAAGGTATAGTAAATTTTATTCAAGTTTATGCTCCTACGGCAGATAAAGATGACGACGATATTGGACTGTTTTACCATGATTTGGAACAAGTTTTAAAATCAATGAAATAATATCACGCTATAATAGTAATGGGCGCCTTCAATGCCAAAGTGGGCCAGGAAAGAGTGGATAGATATGTGGGGGATATGGTCTAGGAAATTGAAATGAACGTGGTGACCGTTTGATACAATTTTGCCAGACGGAAGAATTTGTAATAGCTAATACACTTTTTAATCTACCAAAAAGAAGATTGTACACATGGAAATCTCTCGGTGATACAACGAATAGAATAATCCGAAATCAAATAGACTTTGTCCTTATTAGACAAAGATTTCGTAATTCTATACTGTCTGCCAAAACTTACCCTGGAGCAGACATCGGTTCAGACCATAACCCCATAGTAATCACATTACGAACCATATTAAAACTGGTTAAAAAACCCGCACAAAGTAGAATTGATATTAAGAGATTAAGGGAACCACAAACAAAGGAACAGACTGTAAAAACTCTTACTAAAAATCTGCTTAATGTCCAATAACCGAATAAAAGTAGCTATAACATTTATCAGAAATGGGAAAATATAAAAGTAGCAATAATTACAACAGCAAATGAAAACTTAAAACCAAAGAATAGAAAACATAAAGATTGGATGACAAGAAATACTACTATTAATGAATGAAAGAAAATCATTCAAAACAAAAAATCCAATTAAATATAATGAAACTGATCGATTAATAAAAAAGAGAATAAAAGAAGCTAAGGTGAGAATGTTACATGAGCAGTGCCAAGAACTAAAAGAAAATGAGAAAAAATATGACTTTTTTAACATGCATAAAAGAATTAGAGAATTAACAGGAATGAGAAAAACACTTCAAACTATTTAACTAAGAGATGAAAGGGGTGCACTTATAACAGATATAAACCAAAAAATGAAGAGATGGACACAATATATAGCACAACTTTTTGAAGACAAAGAGAGAACAGAAGCACCAAAAGAATTTAAGGATGATACTGGGCCTAACATTATACGAGAAGAAATTAAATATGCAATGAAACAAGCTAAAGGTGTTAAATCTCCCGGGCCTGATGAAGTTCCTATCGAATTACTTAAAATTGTGAATACTGTAAGTAATACACAAATGGGATTTAGGAAAGGACTGGGAACACGAGATGCACTGTTTGCAATAAGTGTTTTTTCGCAGAGATACTTAGATATTAATCAGGAAGTATATGCCTGTTTCATTGATTTTGAAAAGGCATTTGACAGAGTGCAGCATAATCGACCTAAAGAAATTTTATTAAATAAAAACATAGACAGTGAAGACATTAGAATCATCTGTAACCTCTATTGGAATCAAACAGCAAAAGTGAAAGTTGAAAACGAATTGACCAAGGATATCCAGATTCGCCGTGGGGTCCGTCAAGGGTGTATTTTATCACCCTTGTTATTCAATTTATACAGTGAAGCCATCTCAGAATTAGCGCTTGCCGAGATCAGTGAAAGCCTTATAATAAACGGTGAACCACTTAATAACATAAGATATGCTGACGACACCGTCCTTCTGGCAGGAACACTAGAAAAACTGCAACACCTTGCTGAACAACTAAATATATATTGCAACGATTATGGACTAAAAATCAGTTTAAAGAAAACCAAGGTCATGGTATTTACAAAAGCACAAAACATCAAAGTTAAGCTAGTACTAGATAATACAGAAATTGAACAAATATCTTCGTACAAATACCTTGGAGCATGGATCACAGAAGATACTGATCAGACAAAAGAAATAAGATGCCGCATTGAAATTGCGCGGTCAACTTTTAATAGAATGAGAAAACTCTTTTGTAATCGCGATATCAATATATCGCTCCGGATAAGAATGCTTCGATGTTATATTTTCTCTACCCTTTTGTATGGAGTTGAAGCTTGGACACTTAAAAAATCCAACGCTAAAATCCTAAAAGCATTCGAAATGTGGTGTTACCGGCGTATTTTGAAAATATCATGGATGGATCGCAAAACAAACGAACAAGTTCTCGAACAACTAGGAAAACAATGCGATGTTTTAAATTCCATAAAAATCAGGAAATTGGGATACTTGGAGCACATAATGAGAGGTGAAAAGTACGAACTACTAAAGAATATAATGTAGGGTAA